TTTAAAGGATTTACTTCAAACTCCCACATCATAATAATAAATTATGATAAGTTTCATAAATCTAGCGTCCATATTTTCATAATTATCTCCCCCTTTAAACTTTATTTTTCCATATTTATTTATGGTGTTCAAACCGGTCGGTGCCTTTTGTATCGCTTGCTATACTTTGATATTTGCTAGTTACATCTGCTCTGTATAAAAATTGTTGCAAGTCTTTAAAACGCATTTTTAACCATTTACAATTGCTCCAAATGCAGTTTGTTGATGTAATTATTTAGATGTAGAAGAAGAATGTTATTTTACCCGAATATAAAAATGTTAAAACAAAATCATTCAAATTACAAACAGAAAAATGGAACTTATGATTTCATTACAAAAGTTTTTGTACCTTGGAAATGAATAACAACAAACTAGTACTTGTATTATAAAATATAATATATATTTTTCATATAGAACCAATAAACTGTATATATAGATATATTTATTATATTCTTGTAAATGAAATATTGAGAAATATTGATGAAATAAAATGAGTATTTTCATTTTCCGTATATTCACTGTAAAACATTTTTTTTGCACTGCATTGAAACATATTTTCCGTATTTTCACTGGTGTCTTGCCGGACTACTATTTTCTTAATTCAGCAAACACACAAAATAAAAGGGGAAATCTTCAAATGTAATGTCAAGAAAATGTATATAATAAACAGAAAATTCATTTTTTTATAAATACAGGATTTATTTTCATCTTGTGGTAAGAAAATTATCATATTTCACTTGAAAAATTTATTTTCATACCATTTATGAAAATAAATCCTATATTCAAAGAAAAAACTTGAATATCCTCTATTTATACGATTTATTTGTAATTGATGGGTAAATAATGAAGCACATAAATCAAGCGTGATTTCGATTCAGTTTTATTAAAAGCAATGGTGGGGAAATTACAGTATAAGAGAAAGATGCTGACCGCGTGATCTAATTGAATAATGGATTTGAGCCGCGTCACGACAAAACCAACATAGTGCGTTTGCATCCGCGCAGTCTGATCAGGATCCATGCTGTTCGCTATCAGTTTCCCTACTTGTAATAGGGCTGGTAAGCGAACAGCATGGATCCTGATCAGACTGCGCGGATGCGCAGGCTGGTCTGGATCCATGCTGGTCGCAAACCCATTATGTTGGCTTTGTCGTGACGCGGCTCATTTCATTAATATTTCATACAATTTGCACTGAACTACGCATCGACTACAAATAACAAAAGTATGTGATTGCTTGCATAACTGTTATACATATAATGTATTAAGTGTTATATTGAATAGTTAAATATTTACACAGAATGTTCCATACAAACTTTGCTATTTGTGTCTTTTTTAATTTCAGTTAATGTTTTCCAAGTATTGTCGATTGTCAGAAAGTGTTTAAATTAGCATCAATTCACGTAAAAAACGGAAACGGTTCCCTGCAGAAAATGTTACTATTTCAATTTGGCTGTTAATTAGGTCCGCTGTCAATATTCTACTTGCAGACACTGATTCTCGGAAATAAAGTTTCCTTATATAGATATTGTTAAATGATTAAAAAATATTTTAAATATTGTTCAAGGGAAGTTTAAACGAATATTCTCACAAATATGATGTTTACTTATAAAATGAGAGTGCTATATCTGAAATTCTTCGACCTGTGCTTTATTTAAAATGCGAACCATTTGTTTTCAGGGATCTTAGGTCGACAATATTTCTTTAGTGCATTTATATAGAATATAATGTATGTAAATGCTATAGCGCTATAGAAAATTATCATTATAATTGTGTCATAAGACTTGTCAAAATAATTTTCATTTTTCAAAAAGGAAAACGGAGAGAATGTGTACCGGCAATGTTAATTATAAACATTTTAAGAAAATATTTTAATCTCTAATAAATGTTATATAGATCATCTTGAAATATTGTTACAAGTGTATAGCATAAGTTTATTACATCAAATAATTAAAATGTTTGCTTTCGTAACATTTGCATTGTATTTATTATCAGCGAATGAAATAATTGCATCAGTTCAAACGGATATTTATCGAAAGAATGATTTGTTTTCTGAAATTATGTGTCCACTTGCTGGTATAGATTTTGGACTGTCTGCAAAAGTGGCAAGGTGTGCTACGAAGTGTAACATTCACGTCACGTGTGCAGGTTTCTTCTATAATAAACAAAGTCAAATGTGCAAAGGGGTTCCAGAAGTTTTGACAAACACCACCGGATGCATTAGTATGCCAAATACTGCTTATTACACTTCAGGTAATAGATCAAAATCATTATACTAGTGAACCTTCTTTTCTATAAGTGACTCTGTCTCGTTCTAAATTGGCGTTCTGAACTAAATTACACTTCTGATACAAACGTTTACAAATACATGTACATGTATATCAAAAATTATTTTTTCAAGAAGCTATTACATAGATAAACTACCAAGCAATTTAGCTCAGAAATTATTACTATTTTTGACAAGAAATCATCGCTTTCCAAATGAAAAAGGACGATGGCAGAATATACCTACTAAAGACCGTAAATGTAATATTTGTAACGATATCGGCGATGTATTTCATTATCTTTTTGTATGTCTAGAATGTATGGTTTTACAATTTGTAGACCTAGTATGTTTATGTTTGTAAGCCTGCTCACATCGAAAAATACAGATAAAACTAAAGAATCTTAGTATTTTTGTATGAAAATAATGCAACATTTTAGAACCTGATTTTTTTAACTAGATAATTTTAGATAATGTCTGTTTAAATTACCATATGCCAGATATTAGTTATGACCTTTTTGTGTCTTAAATGATTAACTTTTGTAATATTTATCACTTTTCACTTACATATATATACACAGCTCAATTTTATAGCTTAAACTTATATGAATGTGTTTTGTTCTGTTCTTGGAAATTTCAATAGCCGTTTTCTATACAATTATGTTATGTTATGTGATTCTATGTATTTATGCATTAATGTATGTCGCAAGTTTGCTTATGTTTCCCGCTATCGTGGGACTTTTGCATATATTGAAAATAAGATCTTGAAATCTTGAATGTTTTGTAATAGTCTATAAGCTTGTAAGCGTGTCTAGTTGACGTTCATTTAAAAAACTAGGAACAAATTGATTTGTATTGTGAACAACTTAGAACAACGTTAACTTGACCGTGGAACTCAAATATGTATCCTCTTTAGATTTTGGAGATACATGTACATGTATCTATTTGTTATTTTTTTAACTTGCCAAAAGCTACTTTGTTGTTCATTATTTTTTTAAATAGGTAGAATAGTAAAATATGTTTGACTTTCAATTCAATTGTGTATTTTGTTCAATGCATCATTTTTAATATATACACATACTTGTTTATAATGTTTATGAAAGGAAAACTTTTAAATTGGTAAAAGAAAATAATTACTCGTTGAATATTTGCACTGGAACATGATATACGTATTTTTTCAGAAATGATCAATGCTAGTGCAGTCGTAACTACACAATCGGTTTCAATGGCTTCAGTAGCGGAAAATATAACAACACCTTCACTAAACACGGCAACATTGACCGTAAATACAATCACAACGTTACAAGCAACATTAACTCAGTCTCCTACAACAGCGACACCAGAAGAAACAACAACCATTGCCTCTTTAACAATCACACCGTCTATGTCCTTTATATCGGCAACAACATCGTCTATAATAGTTCCAACACCGTCACTAACATCAGCCACGCCGTCAGCAATAACAACAACGTCAGCCGCACAGACAGCATCAACTACACCGTCGCTTACCGTAGCTACACTGTCAGAAACCACAACTACACCGACAATGATCATGACTACACTATCTGTTACATCCTCAACAATAGTAACAACAACTGCAACTGTAGCGTACCAAATAAAGCAAATGAGCAAGATTAGCAAATCGCCGATAAAACGCCGTTAACTTCAAAATAACTGTCACCCACAGCAACTCCATCGTCACCAGCATAAACATGTTAGTCATCAGTAATATCTAGACCATCACTAGCAATATTCAATAGAAGTAACTATTACTTCACAGGCATCAACTACAATGTCATTATCAGCCATTCCATCATTGTCAACTTTAGTGTCTATCAACATCATCAACAACGTAGCTAGTAAATCGTCATAATAAGGACATACAATGACACTAGCAGTAACTGCATCGTCATTTACCACAAGTTCAGTGCCACAGACCACAAACAGAAATACTATTAGAATTATGTCAGTACTCCTTTGCTAACAGCACAGACATGGTCGGAAGAAGAAATACAACGAAAGTAAATCATCACTTTCATCATCTAAAATGTCACTTTCATATCTACAAAGTTATCCGAACCGAATACGTGAACATCACCAACGCAAATGTAATGGCAGAGTGCTTCCAGAATAACTGTGGCGGTTTGTGAATATATATGTAGTGATTCCAGTGTCACTGTCAGGCAAAAAGTAAATTTAAAGTCATTTTTAGGAAATATTCAAGGACAAAATCAATAATAAGCCGCACATATATCGCTTTCTGGATCGTACGTTTCTATTGGCAATTCATTGACGTTCTGTACCCATCCATTCCAATTCCTTATAATCAGCACTTCACTGTGGTCCAAACACGGGCATCCATGTTTCCATATATATTTAAGCCGTTTGTCGCCGTGCTTATGGGGTAAGCCCTTTGCGTAAGCCTCCCTAAGCTGCAAAAGATAATTGATAATTGTTTACACATGGACTTCTGAGATGCCAGTAGAATTGGTTATTTCTTTCACCGAACAACAGTGCATCCTTGGGTGGACTATGAAGTGATGCTTGTCTTAGAAACAGATGTCTGAGGCCTACAAGAACGCGAATCATCTTCGAAAGACGAATTTACTTATTATAAAAACTTTAAATCTTATAAAATCTGTCTGCCTTAAAAGTGCAATTATTCCCATATATACCTATGAATTCGTCTAATATTTGCTTTGAGTCTGTATCAATACTTGTGAGATATTTACTGCTAATATTTGAAGTTTTTGTCCATTTTACTGTGTGACAAGTACACCGACGGTGTAGATGAGCGCATTGTCAATTTATAAGCAATTTTGACTGAATTTATTGAACTCGTTGAATAAAATGATATTTTGCTCGCCAGAGGCTCGCATATTGAAATTGTATTCAAGTCGTTCAATAAATTTAGTATTGAACTTACACTCATTCAATATCCTCTATGTCTTGCACTATTTTCGCCCATTTATAGAATTAAGCCAAACAGTATTGATAGAGTGAAAAAAAATAAAAAAAATAAATTACAACATGAAACAATAAAATGCTTTTACTTTAAATGACGAATTATAACGGAATTTACATTACAATTGAAACAATGGTTTTGATCGGTTTTCCGTAAAAAAAGCAGTTCTTTTGGTTGAAAAATTTGTTTGAGGGAATATCGCTTTTTTCACCCGTATGATGAAATACATTAAAAATGATGGCTATCATAAAATAGTTATATAAAAAGTGATGCTAATGTACTAGCGGCGGGTGCAGTGGTTACAGCAAAAAGCAAGTTTTTTTCTTGAGTTTAAAGAGCCGTTTTACTATTTACAAACGTTTTATGGAGTATGTCGCACGTATCGGCGATCAATACACGTACACATATGTATATCTCGCACACACGGCGCCTATACCACGTGACTTTTTGTGGTCTGTTGGGGTACAAAAAACGGTTCTGGTAATAGTTTGTTTCAAAACTTTTCCCCTAATATTTCATTGTTTTTATGGAATAAAGTGTAGAGCCGGTCAATTCTAGTAATTGACCTTTATATAAAATGTTTTCTACAACATCAGTAAGTGAAACCACGTGCTTTAAAACATTCAGGAATCACGAGGTTTCACTTTATAGAAAGAATACCGAATACCGACCCCCCCACCCAGGAACATTCTTTGTATGGGTAACTTTTAAATACATTTTCAAAATTTTCATGAATATTGACATTAATCTGGAGTCTGGAGACATGCTGCTTTCAGCAAGTTTGTTTTAGTAAAATGCGTGGATTGTGTGTTAATTGATTTAAAGCAGATTCAAAATAAACCAAATGAATAAAACAATGTCTCCGGTGTTTTTAGACAGATTTATCCATTTATACACTATAAGTTTATTGCATTAGTTTATTGATTTGCTATATATAGAAATATATATCTATAGATGCCCATTTACACACACTACCTTTTTATGTTTTCCCAAATTTAGTTATAAATAACCTCCTGGTTTTCGAAAAACAATATTTAAACATAGCTTATGATCAAATTTCCTAACCATTTATAATTAGATATGTCAGTATCTTGTGTTTTCTTGAAAAATAAGTTAAACAACGATCATATTGTTCATTCTTTTTCATGTTAGTGATAAGAAATTAAGAATAAGAAAAATGTAAATCTAACGAGTATAATCTTAAATATGTTAAAATTAAAACCTTCAAACATATTTTACAGTCAGCATCAAATATCGGCAACATTCGGAAAGTGGAATAGACATAGGCATACAAGTATAGGTGAGACTTTAGACGACTTATGTGATGGAATATGTAAAGTTACTAACATTGAACCCATAAAAGTAGTGAAAAAGGATGGGAAATGGGTAACCATAGATAATCGCCGACTTTGGGTGTTTCATCACTTAGAAGGGGCTGGAAAATGTGAAACGATTCCGGTTGAAGAAGTGCAATATAGTCCATTTGATCATGGTCGAAAGTTTTCTAGTACAAATGGAGGGATATCTGTCAGTTTCATCAGAGGAAGATCTCCAGGGGGAAAGTGGTATAGACGAATCACACCAGTTACACCAAGACAAGAGACCCAAACTAAAAAAACTGAGTCAAGTGTAGAAAATGTGGTTCAAAGCCAACATAAAATAAAATTCGATAAGGAAGAAAATTCTGTTAGTAAATACAGCAGTGTTACTTCTGAACCTGTGTCAAAAGTGTTAAAAGATATTGTACAGCCAGTTAGTTCCTTAGAAACTGCTAAAAAGGATGAAAAGAACCCACCATGGCCTACAAATCTAAATTTCTGTAATAAAATACATACGAATAAAGCAGGTGTGATTGAAGAAAGTTCTACAGTCAAAGGAAAGGGAGATACAATTTCAAAGTTAAACACACAATCATTTGGGTCTTTGATAGCAAACACTTCAAGAAATGAAACAAAATTCCATTCCAATGTCCACAGATATAAGGAACTAACTACATTACAAAAAGCGTTGCATCGCCATCTCTATAAACCATACAATTTTGGCAGGACACGTAGTAATCGACTGCATACCATTCGCGTTAATTATGGAAACCATGCAAAACATATTCATTATAGGAGATATCACTCTGATCGAAAGAAACGTTTATTATGGTTTATGAAAGGCTGGGTCTCAGATATTTCTGATAACAGTAGTAGTGAAAATAGTAGTGAAAATTCTGAAGATCAGGACATTGAATCTGAATACGATTGGTCAGATCAAGAAATTTCTATGTTAGTCGACGAACGACTAGAATCTGATAATAAGGAACCTGAAATAAGCTCTTCTGATGACGACAGTAAAGAAATTGATTTCGACGACGACCCATGGAGCGACGCTAATGATGCTGACGACGAAACTGTCCATGATGATGGTGATAATGACGACGACGACGATGGTGGTTATGATGATGATGATGATGATGATGATGATGAAGGTGACGATGATAATGATTGTGTTCGTTTTACTGTTGGTGATAGTGATAGTGTTAGTGTTAAGGACAATAAAGATGATGATACTGAAGATGTCAAAAGTCATACAGATAATTTAAGTATGAATAAAGAGAATGATGAAGATTTGTTAGAAAATAATGGCAAAAACATTATACCTGTTAATTTAAGATCAGATTTAGAGTATGATGAATTAGATGTTTGGCCAAATGAGTTTGATGAAATTTCAAAGTATAAAACGTTCACTGACAGCGGATCGAGCGATTCTCAAGATGATTTTCTTCTTGCGAAGGAAATTGAAATTAATAAAAAGCGGATGGATAAGATTGATAAATGTTTGGAAAATAGCAGGCTTTCCTCATCAGATGAAAGCACTGATCTCAGTGATATTGAGGACGAAGAAAGTTTGGCATTAAATATGCATTACGCTTTTGAAGATAAAGATGATAGAAGAATGCGGGCAGAAAGAATATCCATAAAGAAATATGGGTATATATTTAAATTCGACTGTTGATGACATGTTTGAATTATTTTAATTCGGATTACTATGTGATTAGAAATGGAGCTAACTTAATTTTTTTTTAAATGCGTCGGCTTAGATTCAATTACACTCAGTTTGAAACAAATCTGTCAAATGTTGCAAAGTTAAGTAATAAAACAACTGATCGTCTTTCAAATGCATGACAATGTCACGCTGAAATAAAAGTGCAAAAAAACAAAGTAGAATCTTTCTGCACAGTCTGCCATTACTTTTGATTCATTTGCATCTGTGTTAGTTTCATACCTCTAAAAACGTTCGTTGAATCCTTTGGCAATTACAAATATTATAATAATATATTTGAACACGAAAACGGTCAATGCTTCCAGAAATTTAAGCAGTTAAACATGATTGTAAAAAGTTAATAAGTCAGGTAAATTCAAAATTTGCCCTCTCAAATTCCATGAAGCCACTGTAGCTGTTGTATGTTATTTCTGATGTATCGTTATTTTACAAATTTTTAACTACTTCATTTTTGATGTATGAAAAGCTATTGATGAAGTTACAGAGTTTTTTTTTGTTTTCTAAAACGAATAAACTCATTCAAAGATATGTTCAATGAATGATAAAGCTGGATTAAATTGCCGATCACAAGAAAATTACATAAATTGCAGACATTTGTTTGTTTATCTTGCAATCAGGATAAATCTTCATTCAGTAAAGTCTGTTGATTGTATCTTAAAACACAAACCACCTCCAACAGGTAAATTCAAAATTGTCCTCTCAATATTCATGTTAACTCTGTAGCTATGTTTGATATGTTTATGTTACTATGATACTCGTTTTTTTTACAAATTTTAAACATATTTTCATTTGAAAATGTATTGAATAGATGCTATTTATGAAGTGTACAGTTTTGTTGTTGTTTTGTTTTTTGTCAATTTAAAAGAACTGTCATTTTGCAGATCAATGTCAATAAATACTAAAGCTCGGATTAAATTGCCTGATTTACACAGAGAAGGAATTCAAATAAATGATACATTTTTGCCATATCTTGCAAGTAAACGGTAAACAGATCATGTAAACAGTTTCTGGTTAACTTTGATTGTAGACTTTGGTTGTTGTTGAATAACATCTAGATTGTCTATACCAACTTTGTCTGTACCAATAACATCTATATCGTCGAAATCAATAGCATCTAGATTGTCTATACCAACTTTGTACCAATAACACGTAGATCGTCTTAATCAATAACATCTATATTGTCTATACCAACTTTGTCTTTACCAATGACATCTACATCGTCTATACCAATAACATCTAGATTGTCTATACCAATAACATCTACATTGTCTATACCGATGTATCTTTAGACACGGATGCTGCATGAGTTTTTCAAACAAATTAAAACAAATAAACATTTAGTTAATCAATACTTTATTATTAGTTCTAATCTAGTATCACAGAATGTTACTATCTCTTATCAAACTCTAAATCAAACCCTGCTTTAAATAATCCTTAGTCGAAAATTTTCAATCTGATACCTAAGGAGATGCCGTTGAGTCTGAAGTGCTGACAAGTTATTTTGATATAAATGGTAATGTTTTAAACTTGAGAAACTGAAACTTTCGTCGCCATAGACTCGTTGCCCCTGGCAACCAACAACGTCAACGTATCCCCGGCGTCTTTGATTGTATTCATCGTGCTGTTAAAAAGAAGAAGCATAATAGAAAATATTAAAATTTTAATCAAAAGATGTATGTTAATTTGGAAATATGTATCAATTTTGAGTGCATTGTTGTAGAAAAATGCACGGTTCGAGTTCAAATGCGTTGGAATATAATCAACGAGGCCGATAGACCTGAGTAATTAATTTTTATTATTAATTACAAAGCATTTGAACGATAAACCATACATTACTATACTATAATGCAAGAAAAGTGAATACTTATTTTCATTCTAACATGCTAATGAAAAGAGATAAAATATTAAACTACATTGAGCATGGCAGTAATTTTCCTGACGTCATTTGGTTTACTGGCGTCATATCTGGCATCTTATCACGTGTACAAACATTCCTTTCCTATTTAAGCCGTGCATGTATTTATCGTATAATAATGCACTTGAATGTCCTATCTATTCCATAGAGGAATAGAGAGAAGTGTGTTAGCATTATAACACCCTGTTTAATACATTGTATGTTATGTAAACAAGTAATTACCGATTAAATGCGTAACAAAAAGTAGTAAATTTCACTGATCAAATTAAATCTGGTACCTTTGGTAGTTTGCGTTAATAACACTTTTTCCGTCCACAGCCAGGACCCGATCCCCGACTTGTAAACATCCGTTAAGTGCAGCCGGACTATTTGGAAGAATTTTGCGTATGTATATACCAGCAAGACGTAGTGGCGTATGCTGAAAAATAGAGCAATCCTGCCATAATGTCAGTTTAGATCACTGATGCCCGTTTAAACATTTCTTTATTTAGTAACACCATCATATATTCGGTTAGATATCACCTTTTATGCGTTTCTAAACACCAAGAAGCAGTATATACTATGAATTATACATTCTACAATTTAAAAATGCTTATACGAGTATAAAGCCACTTCTAGTAACATTTCATAATCATGTTATAGTAAAAATTAACTTATGTATAAAAACGTGCAAATCGCCATTACGTATTGTTTTCATTGAAGTTTCGACCAGTATTCAACAGTTACCTCCCTTTCATTACAATAATTTGAGACACTAAAATCTTACCAGGCCATCAATAAGACCCAGCCCGAGTCCAGTATTTCCTCTTTTCAGATACACTGTAAATAATGGGCATGGTGACATTCTCTTGTTCTCGTCTGGTCCAAGAACTTCCGAAACTTGCTCATCTGTAACGTAACACATACGTATCATTTACCTAGTTGTTTTCAAATAATGCATACTATGTGATTATTATAGATACGTGGTTCAAATGCCGAAGGTTCATTGGTTATATATTATAAGGTGTAAAATATCAAACAGGCATGCAAAGAATCAATAATCGTTAGGCATCTCATTAGAACTTACGACCAATATTTTTTTCTTTCAGAAATTTCTCTTCTGTCCATCTTATTTGTTTAAGTTTCGTATGTAATAATGTCTGTAAGATAAGTGTCGTCACAACATTTCGATTACGTACATACAAGTATTCTATATTAATACTGGTTCTTTTAACTGTTTTATGAGGTCCATGTTTATTTTTATATAATATTGAACATGAACTCCCAATTTCTTTAAATTTTAACCACTGATTTTAAGGGAGTACAGGGACCGCATTTCAAATTGTTGGTAAAGAATGCCTATATTATATCATTTGCCCAGACGCCGTGAAGGGGAAATATAGTCAGATGTTGCCATGTGAGGCGAACTGGCAGCAATCTTTTCCTAGCTTGGAAGTCGCAATATGACTTAAACAGGATCGATGTGACTTACTCTCTATCAACATAAATTGCAATAGGCCGGTTCATATGTACCCTTCTCCCTTTTCTTACAATGGCATAGTAAATAGCGTTTACAAATACTTACATGATATTGTTCTCGGACTATTTTCCGATGACGGGGCTACATTAAGAGAGCTTCCGTGCCTCTTTAGTGCAGCTAATGTACTTTCGTTCACCTCTGTAAATAATTCCCCTGGAAACGCCTCATGTGTTTCTGTTTCACACATGTCGTCTGCTTGCTCAAAATCAATTCCAGTAGTTGCACTTTTCAAGTTATTTCCTTTGTTTATAAATAAATCGTCTTTTGTGAGTTCAATAGACGACCTACGGGACTGTGAATCAAAATTCACAGAGGTCAGCTTCTGAGCATTAGTCCGCAGTTTGAGCTGAGAGTTGACTGAGGTAGATAACTGTTTGAAAGACATTTTATTAGGTAATGGTTGCGTGGCAATATCACTTAGGTAACCCTTATAAATAGTATCTATGTGGTTTTCACTATGAAATACTTCATCACTTGAAACACTGTCGGAAACAAGGGACTTATGTCTCCTAATACCATTGCGCGGGGTCCGGGATTTTACCGGAACATCTGTCGTCTGCTTTTTTTCTAAATTATCTTCTTCTGCTTCACTTATGCTTGCACTTTTGCAATGATACGTGTCTGACGTGTATCCGCGTTCTATAGCCTCTTCAAACGATGCACTTGGTCTGTGTTTCAACAAACGTAATGGTAAGTCATCAACGCTGAAACTATGTGCTTGACTAATTCTACTTTGTAACTGTTTTAATTTAGTTCTCTCTTTTATTTGCAGAGATTTTGGTAATGTTCTAGCAGAACAATCTGCTACGTTTCCAGACATAACACTTTTCTGGTACCTTTGTGTCGATTGTTTCCCTTTCTGTTCTGTCTTACACATCGTTTGGCTGTTGTTGTTGTTGTTGTTGGCTCTTATTTCGCTTGCCTTTACATACATGCTGCTGATGTCCACCAAATCTTTTATCTGTTCAGACGTTTCCGTTTGTTCTCGCCGCTCTTCTTTCATTAGGTCAGACGCTAATGTACCGGAAGTGGCAAGTTCGTCCGCCGGAACATTTGCACAATTACAAACACCAGTACCTGGTTTCGGAACTTTGGCCCAAGGATTTGTGTTACACTTTTTCACAGGTAATCTGCTCTTTTGTTTGTGTAGCATCGAAATCAGCGCTGATTCTGGATTACTCGACTTGCCCTCAATTTTCAATTTTTCGTCTGCCTGCTCTTTGTTTTCATGCTCAAAGAAAGGATCGGCGATGTCGCATTTTGGCGCACTGCAAGACCCACGAGGAGTGTTACTGATACTGAATCCACTGTCGCTGTCATCTGTAAATAAAGATACTATATCAAAAAGCGTAAACTATAATGGCAATTCTTCCACAACAGTTGGGGCTTCCGTGGTCGAGTGGTTAAGGTCGTTGACTTCAAACCACTTGACCCTCTCCGATGTGGGTTCGAATCCCAACATGGGACTTTGGTTTCTTTCATGTGAGGAAGCTATCCAGCTAGCTTACGGAACGTTGTTGCTTCTACCTGTTCGTTCATAAAAGAATGCATGGAAGGGCACCTGTGATTTTCCTTACAAGTAAAGCTGGAGCGTCGCCACATGACCTATACTGTGTCGGTGTGACGTAAAACCCAATCAATCAAACCAACCAACCAACAAACAACTCCGCAAATGTTTTATACTAAAGCTGGCCAATTCTGTCTCATGCCCATGTACTAATAGAAACTGGAAATCACACAAATGGTTGTAACATTAAATGTGATGATTAACTGGTTTGCAATAGACATAAAAGTAGTGTTCTTTATTATTCCACACATTTAAGCGGTCAAACTGTGCATGAAATTACCTTCTGTAACACCATACAGTGACTTCAGACGCCGAAGATGATTCCAGAATGACGTATCTTCCGGTGATCTAATTAGGTCAATTATTCCGCAGTTATCCGGCAATGCAAATGGCGGATGGTTTGATAAGGGAAGCAGATAAACCTCTGTAAATATAAATAAAACATAAAAGGTGGTAGTGTAGCTATTACGGCTCTTAAAAGAGCTAATGATTATTTTATATCAAAGGTATTTGCATTAAATAGGAACATACTTGTACATGAATTCATATCAAAATAATTATATTGCGTTTCTCGTAGTTATATACGAATCAAGCATAATACAACATTGTATAATGAGTCCATGTGTATGTCAATTTAAATTTCATACAGACAGACAATGTCACATATAAAACATGATCAAATCCATCCAGTAAAAAAGTCGGTGTTTGTTACCGTAGCAAAAGTTAACGTATGCAATTTCCTTGAAGAAACAAAGCTTTCACTTAGATTGAATACTTATTCAACAATAACAGTTAGTGATCTTTATATTTATGATTACGTTTACCTTCTTTGCGAATTTGTTCAATCTCGTCTGGTGTCGGCGTCCAGACGACTGGCGTTGGTTTTCCGCTCATATGGTAATTTGACAGTATGTGGTGAAGTTGTCCAGGACTAAGTGGCTGGTAGTGTGTCTTCATCATTGGCCACTGATACTGAAATATCAAACAAGAATAATATCAACCACCGATGACTTTCAGCCCATTTTAATTTGTTTCAGAATGCCAAGGGAGGTAACTTTGGTCACATTTGACTCTTCTGACATGGTGAGCAGGTCCCCTTGCAAAATTTCTTTTAATTGATATCTATTTACTCTATCTCAGTTGTTATGAAGATTAAATAACTATTTTAACCTATTTTCCCACTTAGAAACTATAACTGAAATCCTGAACGAGTTCAAGCCTTAGTCCCTTTTGCCGAGTTCCAAATACGATTTTTTCTTCAAATGTATTTACTAGTATCTTTTTCTTGTGATTTTATGACAAATTTTATCTAGGTGATATATGGGTATTGTTTATTGTTACTTATGTTTTGTTTTCTTGTTCTTGTTTAGCCCTTACCTTGATGGAACCAAATGTAATAAGCCATCACCACTAGGAAAGTATAGATCCCCATGATTGATAGTGTACAATTCTAAATGAGGAAGGTAGACTTGTCAATTCAAGAAATTCGGCAAAGGGTAAATATGGTCTTATAGTTTACCTTGACTAGTGTATTTTTGGAGGTTGCAAGAAGCTCGGACACGGCAAGTAGGGGCTCAAACATCTGACTGAACTCATCCTCGAGCCCATTCTGGGTCGCCCAGTCCTCTAATTGACTCAGATTGGCTCGAACTCGTACACCACTTTGCCAGTTGTAATAACGAACTCCACCATCTAGTTGAAAGAAAACATACGTGTTTAGTAATCAACTGAACAAAAAAACTGAATACGAAAATAACTTCCGCTTCGACATTGTATGTAACATGCGTCTTCGAAATCAATAAAGAATATTTAAAGAACTTTACTGAAGTTGCAAGAGGCAATCAGGTGCGTGTTTTCCTTTGTTTCTTGCGACAAAAATCAACAAAAGTATTATTTTTTATGCAAAAAAGATAGTCAAACGACCAAATAAAACAGAGGCTGCCTCCGAGATTCAAACTCACAAATCAGTGGCCATTAGCCCAACAAATTGAGCGAGAGGACTTTTTATAATATATACGGCGTTCGCCTTTCGTAAAGACAGACAGCTATGTAATACCAGATTGTAAAATCGGTCGGTCTTACAGTCAAAACATTGAGTCCAAGTGGCCATCAGACTTAATAGTCCTTCTGTCGAGTTAACCGGGATAGAAAGTGCATACATACATACATGCATGTAAATAAAACGTGTCTGTCATAAAACAAGTTAATTACCTCGTGATTAACTCAACGAACTAAAACTAACTTCTGCAATAATTTCGTGCATACATGAAGACGATTAATAGTATTTCTTTGAAAAAAAATTATAACATTTTAAATGTTTAATCAGCGTTTTGTGTATAACAACCGTACATGTTATAGGGGGGCAACTCAATCAGATGCGAAAGAAATAACAAATATCAGAAACCATTCTCTTTTGTGTGAAGTAAGCGATATAATTACCGTCAATAACGAGTTTATTAAAGATGTTCGTATTGGTGAAGAAGAAAAGATAAGTGAAAAGTTGGCGCGTGATCCCCTCGTGCAACATCACAGAATGCGTGACTTCCGCTAAGCGTTCAAACATATGGATCACATCCTCCATTGAACACTGTTCCGAGTTCGCTTCACTGAATGGATTACTGTCTAACAGCGCCGGAAGAACTGGGTGTAATGTCTGCAATGAAAGATTATGAACAAAAATGCATCAGAAAGTTATAAGATATTAGGAGAATTTAGAGAAAAAATAATGAAAAAAATATCAATTAAAGAAGATACACCTGTTTTGTAAGAAGACATCGCAAATCATACAAGCATGGTTACTTTATTTGATAGAACATCGGTCATTTTGTACCCTTTACCATACTTAGAATTACTATTAAGGTCCTAAATCACTGGTAAAACTAATTCTAATAGTCATACAAAAAGATGATTATACAATGAGTTATCCGTGAAATAGCATTAAATACCTTTGTGATTGTGTAGACACACTGCTGAAAACAGAACATAATGATTTCTTCCAACCCTGTCACAAGTTGGCCAAAAGCATGCTTGGCGTTTTCTTCTTTTTTCGCCGTTTTTTCATCACGCCCTCTAGCGGAGCCTCGGTCTGAGAGCGGAAGTTCCGGAAGCTGGAAAGTATGTTTGAGGAAAAGCAGAAGTTGAACACAGTTTGATATCCACAGTAACAATCTCTCCAGTTTCCGGTCCCGATCTGATGGAGGTACCGTAGCATCTAGTAAAGTACTGGAAAATAAAACGATATTATAGTATATAACTAAATATCTACTAAACTTAAACACAAATATAGAAAAACACAATATTTTGGTTATAAATTATACAAAACAACACAACAATCTTTCTTACTCAAAGTTGATACTTTTGCTTAAGACTAATTTATATATGTATTTATGTATCAAATCCCTTACAATTCTATTGAGTTGCGTATGAAATCGTTTCTAATGGCTTTATCAAATTTAAAGAAGGGTCTAAATATTAATATACAAAAATGTCATAGATGTATAATCAGAAAATAAGTTTTATCGCTTGGTTATATTGTACATTAATGTGACAAATACATTTACACTCAAAAATGCGGATGGAGTAAACACAGTCAGTAAAATGGATTTTGAAATATGACTGTAACACTCAAACACCTGTTTAGTATTCACGTATTCACGATAATAAGGTCACCATATCATAGTTTTAATCATATAAACGTCTTCAAACTTCCCCCAAGTTATCAAAATGTGATTATCATCCAAGTGGTTGAATGTACAAATTTGTAGTCTATTATTTTTTTTCAAACAATCAAATATAGCTGTTACAGTGGGATTCGAAGTTTTAATCTTAATTAATAACCTGGTGGAACCGAGAGCTAGGCCAGTCAGCATATTCGTGAAGTCAACCATGAAGGCCAACTTTGTTTAATTATAAATAGCAATTTACAACTAATATAACCATGTTGATCTTCTTGATCTATGCTACGGTAATTTTCATTGTAAACTCATTTTATTTTATTGCATACTTAGTAATAATAAGCCCGGTTCAAATAACTATTCCCATCTTTTAACAATTGAAGTATAATATCGTAAACATCTATTCACGAATTTCTAGCACGTTACGTGTTTATCTTTAACAAAATAACGTTTTAATGCACCATATAATTTTATGTGAGTTTAAAACTATCGTAGATTAACATGTTAACTATTTTTCCCAGGCTATTTAGTAATCATCAAAGTAAATCTTCAAATTAAGGTAAATCAGATTGAAATCTAAGATGTTTCTAAACTCAGTCAACCATTACTATTTTACACGCATATTATACGCGTGTTTAGCGCGCATGTAGCGTGCTTGTATGTATTAGTGTTTTTCGGGGATTTTTTATTATAGTTTTTTCATGAAACAGGCGTATTTTTTTAGTAAAAACATTATTAGACGTTCGATGTTTTAGTTCTAAAGCTCTGTCAGAAAACTATTTCATCTAACTTGGGATAACTTAAAACAATTAATTTGAAAACACGTGTTACAGCACGTGTTTTATGTGCATAATGGACCCATTTTACATACACTATAAAACTGGCTACACGTATAAATTAATGTGGGACTGAATTAAGAATCCTATTTCAACAATAGAATAGATAAGATGGTAACCTTAAAAAACGCCAAAAAAAATGTTACAGGCTCAGTTTAATTCATTTTGTTTGTAACTGCAAGTTACCGTCCACGCCCCCTAGCACCGGATTAAGATTCTAATACAATACGTGTAAATTTTGAATTCCGAAACATCCAAAAAAAATGTCATATCTTGTTATCTTGATCCTCGAACTTTTTTACGCTGACTTGACTTTTTATGATGGTATTTATATAAATCAATCATTGTTAAATAAAAATAAGGTATACGATTGCATTGTGCTGGTATACACCGTGTAAACATGAAAGAAAAACATTAATTTGAATTAAGCAAATAAGTATCGACCTGTAGATCGATTAGCATGTTATAGCAAATTAGGTTTGTTATAAACGGTTATTGATTCTTTAATTAAATGTAACAATCCTTCAAGATTGTCCGATTCTGCAATGCATAGGTGTGTTTAACTTACAAGTTATTGAAAAATCTTTATATTGTATGATTGTTATGATTCGATTAAACATATTTTCAATCAGCATTACCTTGTGAAAAAAGTCTAACGATATAATAATAGGGTGATAAATAAAATGGCTAAAGACCACATGCAATGCTCTAAGATGACCTTTTTCCCCCAGTAATGACCTTGGAATAATTTCAGACAACGATTTTTTTCTACAGCAAGCCCAGTTTAATGAGAATTAATGCATCGTCCGTACGATACCGAATGTTTTAAACTGTTGAACGGCAAAAGTATACTAAATATGAATATGTTTAAAGTCTACAAATGTATTTGATTGTTTACTCGAACATATAATCTTCTAATAATTATCTCTTTAATATTCAAACTTTTAAGTAGTACTTAACGGGCAAATTAAACGATAACAAAGACAAATGTATACGGTTCATAACTGATGTAATGTCGCCTACCTCAAATAAAAATGTTAAATCTCAATAATACGGCTTTCAATATTTGTAATCTATTACTTTAAAGACCCATCCTGACCTTTTCCTCTTTTTTTTTTTTTTTTTTATAATTTTTTTTTTGGGGGGGGGGGGGAGGGGTGTTGGGCTGGGGTTTTCGTCGCACCAACACCATAAATGTCATACGGCGACTTTCCAGCTTTACTGGTTGAGGAAGACTTCCGCATTATTTCAAACACTAAATGACTGAACACAAAATAACATTGTTTTTTTCTTATAAAGCTTTCATACTTTATTGTTTTGATTTATACATCCGAGGAAAATGTCACTAATATTGGGTTAAGGTACTTGTACTTATTTTTGTACATTTAATCAGCAGAAGCCATTCGCGTCCGGGATCTGAAATATTGTGTAGTTTTTTTTTTTGTAAATATTATTGCATGAAATGGGATGGCATTGCCGTTTTTGATTAAGTTTTAGATTTTTATTATGGAAACATATGTTTCCTTATAAAAGGATATCAACAATTGCAGCTCAATTTTGAAATCCCTTAAAAAACTGAATAAACTGTTCTGAATTCAAAACAGGGCGAGTCCATTTCACAAATTCAGCAGGTACTAATTAAAGGTATTCTACTGATTTAGAAAAGATAGGAGAAAAAAAGATTACCGTATGGTAATATATGGCGGTAATATTTTACGTTATATCACGATGGGTTAATATAGCTTTCATTATTAAAGATTAAAAAAAAACATAAATCATTTCTTTAACCGCATGGTTATTGTAACAAGACTATATTTTAATTAAGGGTTTTCAATGTAAATATCCTTTAAATACACGTATGATTAAAGAAAAATATATATATATCAGTAAATTTAATCAGAAGATGATATATCATCGTATTTAACTATATGAATGTTAATAAGCTGTTGGGAAGAAAAGGCATATCCCGTTATGTTATTATATAACCATTATATATCTATGAATTACTTACCACGAAAATTTACAGGCAGACAATGACTTGGCGGTATCCTGTAAAAAGAAATTTACAAATGTAATTAAATTAAAAAATGGTAACATGAACTATTTAAAATGAGATTGTAGGGCGAAAAAAAATGCGTTTCGAATTGTAAATATTTAAAGCGAAGATGGCCGTTTTAGGGTTGAACTAATTAACTGGATCTATTCGTTCTGCTACGAAACGTTCTCCCTTTTTGGTGTTGCGGTTCTTTTTTTTTTAGTAATTGCCAAATTTTTGTTAAGAGAATGGTGGTCTAGTCATGGGAAGCGGTGTCTTAGCAGCTAAGGTGTTTGCCTCTCTATCCAGAGATCGCCGCTTCGAGCTCTACTTGGGTCATGGCACCAATTCCTCATATAACAGTGGACTCAAAAATGGTTCAAGTTTTATCATTTTTTTTTACGATTTAATAAAAATGCGTACATTCATTTATTGATTTGCCTATTTTATAAGGACCTTAATCACTTTTAAACCAGGATCCATGCTGTTCGCTACCAGTTTCTCTACTTGTAATAGGGTTTGTAAGCGAACAGCACGGATCCAGATCAGACTGTGTGGATGCGCAGGCTGGTCTGGAGCCATGCTGGTCGCAAACCCATTATGTTGGTTTTGTCGTGACGCGGCTCATATGTGCTATTGAGTTTTGCCAATACATAGGCCATGGCCTTGACAAGTAACATAAATGGAGTATCCATTTCCCCCAAATTGATTCCCATTTTAGGCTATAAAACTTAATATAGTTTTATACTTAGATATAGATTTTCATTTTATAATTCATGTTGCCATCCCTTCCACATAATCTACATCTTTTAGTTTTATATGGTACTTTGACATGTTTTCAGCTGGATTTGACAGCGTATAAACACCCGGTTCTAATTTTAGACATTGAAGAGCACTTCCGTTACTATTTTTAGTAACGGAAAACCCCTCTTTCATTAGCAACCGACTTAAGAATTTTCTTAAGTGAAATATTTATTACTTAAGATATTTCTCAATCTTAAGAATAATCTCAGCTAAGTTTTTCTTAAGTCATTTTCAGAATACGACTTAATCTTAAGATAAAAAATTTTCTTAGCTAAGATTTTTTTTTCAACTTATGTTATAACTTAAGAAATAACTTAAGATCAGTTGTGAATACGGCCCCAGACGATAAAAGCTCATTTCGTGCTAGGTGTAAAATCATCATTAAACTTAAACCTTGAAAAGAGAACTGACTGACCTATATCATTATCAACAGATCAAATTTAATGGTATCTGTACGTCGTTTAATACTAGCATGTGTCAATGAAACAAAAGTGTTAAAATTTTAATGATGCTCGTTAATGAGTTAGCATCTTAATTATACTGTGTTAATGATTGCGTAGATCAATGTAAACAGTTCTCTGCACGAAAATTTCGGGCTCCATCAAAAATCATTTGAGCTTTAACCAGTCTTGCAGTTCCATTGAAACTGTTATGGGCTTTCACTGCAACGGTATTTTCGTGACAAAGCTAAATGAATAAATGTATTTTCATTGGTACAAACTTATTTTTTAACGAAATGGTAAGCTTTGATATTGCATGATGTGGGTGTTTTTGTGAATGTTAATGCGTGCGTGTGTCTGTGTGCATCTGTCCACAAATAGGTACACAATTCAAACCGTTTGGCTATTCTCATAGTAAGTTGAAAATGGTGAACAAATTTTAATAAATGGTCATTCAAAGCTCTCAAGGTCAGAGTCAAGTTTTTTAATTGAAATAAACACGCTGGTTAAAACGTAATGTTATTTCAATACTACAATAATGGTAAAGTCATTTGAACTCGTAAGAGTTATTAATTTTGTGTAACTGCCAGATGAGATTTTAGATTAAAGCATTCCGCCCTCTTGACACGAGACAGTTTAACAATTATAGCTAATGTTATAATCCAAATGTAAATAAGATTAAAGCATATCGAATAAAATAATGAATAAAATAATGGACAAACGTTAAACGTCAAACAAAGCTATCAATATTAAATGACTTGAACGACTTTATAAATCAAATAATAGTTAAGAGTTGCATGCCACTTGAAATACTATCATAAGCGTATGGTGTACCATTTCAAATATTCTGTACTATTTTTTGAGTCCGTGCATTGAAGGTTGTAACACGAGCGCACGAGCGATGCAAAGTGCCTTCCAGATGTTTGTGTCTAATCTTTTTCTTTCTTTTTTTCTCAATGTGAAAAGATGAATTATTCATGTCAAACCATACTAAATACTAATATTTTGTGAATCTATGTCACTCATTTCCACCATTTTTAAACCAGTGTGTACATTAGTTGAAGATTAAGCAGGGTAGATTTACAATCTCACGTTAAGTATTAAAAGAAAGTCTTTATTACATCTGTAATTCTATAACTATTTATAATGACGAGTAAATATATGATAAATATATATGTGTACTTACAGCCACATTCTCTCGGACAGTGAAGAGGATCCTCAAGAACAAGTGTTTCAGCTGTCGCCGCTCGAACTTGCGGCTTGCGTGTTCTATACACATACTAAACAGTAACGCCACTGTCAGGGAGTAAGTCTTACACGTATTCTGCTGTTGGATTATTGCACAAATATATTTTACTAGTTCCTCTTCTTTTTCTTTAGTATAAGCAAACGACATCCGTTCGGCTATAGAAGCGTCCACTGATTCATCAGTGTTTGAGTTAGACTCATCCTCGCCGTTTCCAAGGTTTAGTTTGAGGTCTGAGTTATCAGTGTCGGCATCCTCCTCGGACATATCCGGTACTGGTAACCATGGTAATGATAAAGGAATGTCATTTCCTTTACTGCAGTCCTTGAAGAGAAACACATAGTAAATCCCTATATTAATCACATCTCCACTTTTCACTAATATCTTACCGTGAACCTTATGCCCGTTCACGCTTACGTTGTCGACTAATGGTTCGAGCTCGAGAAAATAATTATTCCTGTCAGTTAATGGATCACTTACACCATTTGATTTTTTAAACTTGTACACTTTTACATTACAATGAACAGCATCTACATCCGGCGCGAAAAGAGAAAACCTAGGAGTGTCGTCTGCATCATTTTGATTCCGTAAATTCGGATTTCCAAACGAAAACCTTTTTGATTTTATCACGTAAACCGTTCTATCTTTTACAACATCATAGCCTCTTATGTTTACGAAAAACGGATGCTTCGAAGGAATAGTCGTGTCTTGTTCAGCCGAACATGTTCTTTTAGGCTGAGTAGTTCCCTGGTTGGTATGCCTTCCTGATTGTGCCATACGTTTTTCACAATCAAGCGTACCATTCACGTTAAGTTTTAATCCATCTGAATCACGATCTAAACTGGAAGCGTCGAATAACGGAATAGCGCCAGGTCGTAGTTTTGATATCAAAATCTTTCGAACATTCTGATTTAGACCGGAAGTATCATCATCGTCTGTTAAATCTGTCACGTGCGCGCGCTCATGCAGTTCATATCGTCTGCTATATCCATCGATTGGCTTCCAAAACTTCTGCAGAAGTAATGGCTTATCACGATCTGCGAGCATACGAGTAAAGACGCGTTCCCATTTATCAGATTTTGGCACGTCATTCTCTATCTCTCGCGATTCACAGGGGTCATGTTCATATTTACCTACCACATCACATAGAACGAAATCTTTATAATCTTCTATTGGAAGTCCAAATCGTTCAAGCGCTTCTTTCACGAGTTCTTGAGCGGTTGAGCGACATGATGCCAATACACTTTTATACTGAACTCCCGGAAAGATAGTTTCTCCAAAAACTTTCAGAACACCCGGGGTATACTGATCTGTTGACAGCTCCGTTTTCTCCTGATTCGGCGCACACACGATTTTCTTCCGTTCTCTACCGATTGTCGCAGTTCTCTGTAGTCCAGTGTCTTCAGTGAATGCTTTCATTGCCTGATCGACCATAGCATCTACTGAAGTATTGTACACTGTGAAATCGAATGTAAAATCATAAGGTGCTGAATGCCTTTTCCAATCAGTACGGGCAATTTTATCCATTGTGTCGTTTTGAAAAAGAAATCAATTTGCCATTCAAAAGCAATGTTTATTCCTATGGCATATCCATTACGTATCAAGTTTTCTCATTATGTTCAGTTTAGTTTACTTTACATTCTCACTGGTTTTAATAGTAAATGTTTGCTTACTTCAGTTATACTCGGACCCTGAAAAGGTAAAATAAAACAAATGTTAAGTAATATAACTTTTATATTGGCATATCCACCTGCTCAAATACCCGAGATTAAATAAAACACTCTTTTTTTATGGCATTTAAAACGCAAACGCTGAATCAATGTTATACAAATAATATCTTATTAACTTTTTATAGGCTATAAACCCCAGAAACTTCAAAAAGGGTAAAGACCCGATTTTTTCATAACATAATTCTTTCAATACCACAAGTCTGATATTATTTTATTAGTTCGACGCATTGTTGAGTCAATTTACATATTTGCGCAAACGTTTAAATGATCCGTAAACGATGTTATTATTCGCAACAAGTCGATCAATTGCGCATGACAGACCATTCGGATTCATTCTTGATTTATCGTTAAGAGTAATATAATAACCAATTGGACAATGAGTTCCTTATAATTTATCATCATAAGCGGAGCGTTGTGATTTACAGATAATAATTAAACCATGCTCTATTGTCTTAAAATCGTCAATAACATCGGGGAGTAAATACACAAGCGTGGTTTCAAATGTATATTGACTTTAGGATAAATCATTGTAAAATAGTACCTTTTTTTTCTTTTCTTTTTTTAATTTCAGGACTGTGAGAGATGAATTTCACACATGTAAAACTTGACATAATGTATGTGTTCCCTTTTACGAAATAGCTTATGAACTATTCGAAGACATCCGTATTCTATTCATCTACTCATCAATGATCATATAATAGAGCAAAGTTGCAGCACAATTGTTTTTACACGTTCAAAAATGAACTTAAATAGGGAAACCTTCAGCTTCCTCGTTATCAAAAGTATAAAAGACTTAAACATTCAGAGCTTTCGATCTTAGATAACATACTAATAAGACATAAAGAACAAGAAAATGGTATCATAAAGACAGCCAAGAGTAAAGATAGTTTAACATGTGCTTATCTTGGTACCACAACAGTGCAAGGGAAGGTGGCAATGTTCCAGTTTATATGGTAACATAAGATACAATGGTTCCCTTAACGCAACAAGCACAATACACGTACATCGTCCTGACGAACGTATGCCAACAGACTAGGGTCCCGTCAGACCATCCATGCAGTCCTAACCAGATCCTGTGCTGTTTGGTGATTCGTTTTTATTTCGTTGAAATACCCGACACTATTTATAAATGGATCATCTCAAATTAAAATTAAGGCTATTCCATTAAACAAGTTTAATAAGAGTTAATACTTTGGCCATTGCACGTGAATATAAGCAGACAATTTGGGATACACAGCATTTCCTCCTTAGATGCATGGTTAATGTATGTATTTTGCACAAATATAAATCACCATCATCAAATATATATGACAACCCCCAAAAATAAAAACAAAATGAGAAATAAAACGAGCTTACATCTTAGTATTAATTTCCAACCGCTTGCAACTGAATCCAAACTCTTTAATTTTGACACTTCATAACTCTATACAAATATTTAAGATACCCGGCTTAACACGAAATCTTACTTTCCAAAAACAAAACTGACGGATCAACTTACATAAATACATTTAGTATTCACCATATCAGTTATGCGTTGTTTTCACAAGCGATAAATAGCTCAAATATGTGGTCCTTATTAGTGTGTACCCCTTCATGACTATCTCTATATCTTGAAAAGTGGGCTCATTTTTTTTCGAAACAATTCAATGAAATGATTTCGTTTTGGTATAGTGACGTTATTATATTTAACAAACGTACTGTAGCATTGTGATAATATATAAATATACATGTATATAATTGAGTTTAATGAGGTGACACGTGACTCATGATTAAATTTCTTAACTTTGTGATAATCCAATTACATTAGGTATTTGGATATGACATTTATTACATTTCACGGTAATTGAGCCCTTATTACACTAAACCTTGTGTAACGGACTTTCCCTGCTTTGAATATGGACCCGTCTACAATTAAATTGAAATAAAAATCCAAATGAAATAATATTAAAGAAGGCAACGGCACGGAGTCTGGCCTGACCTTGCAGACTCTAACTAATGGTAAAGACTAGTTATTATCGAAGTTAGCATAAAGGAAGTTAGCATAAACTACGGTTAATTAATAGATGCTTCGCTTGGCATAAACAGATAGTGGCTGTTTTGTAGACATGACCAGTATAATAATATGATTAAAATTACAATAAATTGAAATTTTGATTTAACATTAAAATAATGTCACATCTATAAACGCATTTTCAAGTTTAACCTTAACTCTGTCGTTAGCAGTAGTTTCTACAAATGCGATCAGTGCAGGCCAAGATTAGAATATACGTCCATGCCATCTTATCGTGGTCGGCACTGTTCACTATTCAGTGAGTAAATATTTTAATTTTTCCCCCAAAAAGGATTAATTATTTTAGTCCATATTGAAAACTTGACAAGTGCATTTAAGAAATTTAGCAAGGAAAGGGTCAAAATGTACCTAAAAACTACATATGAGTTCGATTAACATCCAAATATTTTGTTAAACTAATGTGTGGCTCATCTTCAGTCCATAAACTAATATAGTTTTAAACTAATATTACAATTATTTAAGTTCGTACACAAAAGAATATGTCTGTCTAATTTACCAGTTGTCTTTAAGGGGATACATGGTTAACTGCCTAAACCCCACAGCCATTGAATATTGGGTCCAAACTTTACTTGGCTTATGAGCAAAGCCTATCAGTGGGTTATGGACAAAGCATATCAGACGCCAGTACTGGTTTATACCAGGAAGCGGACACGAAATTGGTTTAAAATAAGTTCTGTGTTTTCGTGACAATCGGGCTTAAATTTTCTATATTGAAAACTAAGGAATCTTTCGACCACGCAAATGTTCGATCGTTTTACAAAGTATGTATGGGGAATACCAGGTGGTCCACTGGGTGCTATTAGATTTGTACAGTCAAACAAACTCAATGCGCCGTGGGATGTAATTTATACAAAATTTGAACATTCTAATAAGCGGTCATAATTAATAAATCAACGCACGAGACAACGTCCCATTGACCGTAGAATACGTATCTAAAACTAGGACCAAAGAGAAATGAAAGGTCCTGCATAATGTATTACTTTAAATAAAGGGACTTTGATATCTATTCAGCAGACGATAATTGCGCGGGCTCTCGACTACAATGGGATGTCATGTCAAGGAGACATGTGATACGAATATCAGATTAAAGCAATTTTAAAATGATAAAAAAGCAAAAAGAGCGGAAGTTGACAATAGGGAGGGGGTGGAAAGTAGTAAAATACAATGGCCGACCACCAGGAAATTACGACAACCGCAAACTGTTGTAAAAGTTATTTTTACGGCTTATATTTATCAGTTGTTTATACTGGTCATTGAAAAATGTCTTTAAATAATTATAAAAACAATTAACACTGAATAAACTGGGAAAATGCGGTATTAAAACCCTATTTGAGGAAGTTTAGGTAATATCTTTAAAAGATTTCAACAATAGCAAGTCGGATGATAACGATTTTCTTTAGCTTTAAACAAACAAAAATGTTTAAAAAAAATCGAAATAAACATTTATTTCTGTACAGCAATTAATTCCGCATATGACTTTGAAATTTGTAATGTCATCAGATCATTTCCACGTGGTCTGTAACAAAGATGTTCTTTCCCAATTTCCTCAGCTTTAAGGAAAGATTATGCCTTTTGAAAAGTCTTGAAAGGACGTGGTATATGTTATCGGTATATATTTTCTTGTGATTTAACATACAACATTATAAGTGGGAGGGATCTGATTTATGTGCACGAGAAACATAATATTAAATTCAAATACTACTACATACATGAGATTAAAGATAGTGTCGCACTACTTTAGAAGGTTTTCTTTTTCAATAAAATTTGCATTAATATTTATGGACTTATAAAATATTGTCTTGAAATCTAGGGGGAATACGGAAATAATTGTAAAGAATTAAGACAACCAACATTTATTTTAAGTTGTGTCATATGATTATTATACTTGATAAATAAACGAAGTTTTAAAAAATCTATTGTCTTCCTTTTCATGATGTCTTTGAATTAACAGATTGGTTATGTAATAAATCATATACGAGCATTCATCTATTCGTTCAAATCGAATTGTTTATCTAATTAAAACATATTTTCATCCTTTGATTAAACATCTTGTCCTAGTCGAACAAAATTTAAACAAAATGCGCGTTATTTATGGTAAAGGTAAAATTACCGTAAAGCAGCTACACCGAATCTTCAGTCATGTCTATAAACACATAAAAATCTCATTTTTATCCAAAAATCCAACAATATTTCAGTTGAGATAGATTTCTATCAAATGAGATTTAAAACTAACCAAGCAGGTCCAAATTGAACACTTTTTAATCTAACATCTGAACTATAACAGTAAAATGTAACGGTCATTTCGAAATCACGTGATAACCGTGCGCAATGTCTGGAGCTAATCCGAGCCGTACCTTCTCCCCTTATATCTAATTGATGAATTTGACGTAATCCAGTTTTAGCCGATTTGCGGATTATCATAATCAGATTGATTAACTTGATGAAATATATAGGAACTTTCTTTTACGTTATGCTAATGTACCGTAAAAAGGCCTCTGTCCGTCTGTGCCAAGCTTTGTTAGTACTTCCGTTCAGTCTGCCAGAAGAAAGGTCTTAAGTAATAATAATAAATCTCTTAACGCTAGAGCCAAAAATACAAGCATATATGACACCAGTATAGAACCTCGCTGGTCGCTTTACTTATAGAGATCCAGAAATTTTGATGAACGAAAAGTTGTTTAGATATGTGACCAGGTGGGACTAGGTCCATTTTGTCATAGGCGACTCAACACTAGTCGGTCCCAGTCGGCAGTTACTTGGTAGAATGGTTCAACAAATATACAAATTTAACATAAAAAGGGTGGAAACATATGAAACTAAACCAAGACGCAGTCTATTTAAATAAAAAGAGAAAGAGAAAACTAAGATAATCTGAGCTAGAAATTAAGTGTTAAACGTGATATTAAAAAGTACTAGGATGCACTTTTGCAGCAAAAAAATGCGACTTCCAGTTTTTAAATCCTCTTTATACTTACTATGAAAGTGCGATAGATCTACTGTCAACATGTTTTCATGATCTTTTATCTCGTAAATATTTTCAATTATTATAAAGTGATTTTGTTTGCACGTAAATCGCACGTCAGTATAACTATATCGTAGAGTAATCTACCAGACTCAATTGTAAGAGAGAAAATACCATTATTGCATATGACGTACATTGTTGTGACATTGTATGGAGAGACTGGCAGTTTGTTGACAGTCTTGATTATTTTATTTGTGCATTTTTCAATTTCAAATTATTATTGTATTGAAATGTAAAGAAAGGATTAACAATTTACATGTTTGGTTTGAATATGCTCAGTTTTTTATGTTTAATTTTCAGCCGTTGTGTTTCAGGAAACATCGGTGTGTGTGTGTTTATTTTGTGTTCTTTTTTCTTCTTTTTTTTTAACAGTAGAATACAGTGCATGATTACCCCATTGAACTAACAAATGCCCTGTAGAATTTACTTGGCTCAGAAGCAATCAATATGCGCATATGTTATGTATGAAAGATACCAAGTGATGGGGAAAGGGTGCATTTTACCATTCACTGTAGCAAAGATCATCCAAGCTACCATTGGTATATAAACCATGATATATGATGAAGCGGACATTCTTCTTACTCCTCAGAGCGTGCACGTCGCTGAGAAGGCACAGGGCATCTTGCAGACGATTTGACGAACTTGGGATGGCGAAAAATAAACAAAGTCCAGAACTTTAACTGAGGACCAGCTGCCGATGTCCTGACTAATGCTGAGGGGAATGACCCTACAATTTAGGCAGAAACGATGAGGATGGTGTGCTAGGGTGCGTAAGCCCTTAGCACAGATAGACGACTTGTAAGGCAGGACCAACAGCCCTTTTAAGGACTACCTCCTTTCATTATAGTCTAAAATCTTGATCTTTTATCTCTTAAATATTTTCAATTATTATAAAGTGATTTTGTTTGCACGTAAATCGCATGTCAGTATAACTATATCGTAGATTAATCTACCAGAATCAATTGTAAGAATTGCATATGACATACATTGTTGTGACATTGTATGAAGAGTCTGTCAGTTTGTTGACAGTCTTATTACATATGACGTACAACTGGTGGCAAATACTACTATGCTAGACTGGTGGCACATGCTACTATGCTAGACTGGTGGCAAATGCTACTATGCTAGACTGGTGGCAAATGCTACTCTGCTAGACTGGTGGCAAATACTACTCTGCTAGACTGGTGGCAAATACTACTATGCTAGACTGGTCCAAATGCTACTCTGCTAGACTGGTGGCAAATACTACTCTGCTAGACTGGTGGCAAATGCTACTCTGCTAGACTGGTGGCAAATACTACTCTGCTAGACTGGTGGCAAATACTACTATGCTAGACTGGTCCCAAATGCTACTCTGCTAGACTGGTGGCAAATGCTACTATGCTATACTGGTGGCAAATGCTACTCTGCTAGACTGGTGGCAAACACTACTATGCTAGACTGGTGGCAAATACTACTATGCTAGACTGGTGGCAAATGCTACTCTGCTAGACTGGTGGCAAATGCTACTATGCTAGACTGGTGGCAAATGCTACTCTGCTAGACTGGTGGCAAACACTACTATGCTAGACTGGTGGCAAATATGCTACTATGCTAGACTGGTGGCAAATACTACTATGCTAGACCGGTGGCAAATGCTTCAATGAAATACTGGTGGAAAATGCTACTCTGCTATACTGGTGGCAAATACTTCAATGAAACACTGGTGGAAAATGCTACTCTGCTATACTGGTGGCAAATGCTTATCACTTTCTGTTCTAAGAAGGAAATAATTAATACATAAACTCCTTATGAAGTGAAATGTAAGATTTACCTTATCCAAACCGATATTCCGCATCTTGAGTGCACTAAATAATATAACAGCGCTATTAACTAAAGAAAAATCCGAATAACTCCGAATGTGCACTTTATTTCAAAGAACATACAGGCATGTTTGACTTTTACCGAATGTTTGATTTTGACACCCTAAATAAATGTGGTTATCATTAATTTTCAAATTAGATACACAATGAAAAATCAAAGTCAGAGGTAAAATTTACTTAAACATATTGATGTTTCACAAAATATTGTCAATACTGGCATAAGAAAGGTTTAAATACTCTCCAATACAAGTTTTATCGGGCTTTTCATTCTAGATGTAAAAAGGCAAATGGGGGACGTATAATTAAATTATTTGCTGTTATATTAAATTTGTAAGTAAATTCTTCAGATTGTGTACATAACTTGTGTTCTGTATCAACAAAGACCCCTTGCGTGGATTCTGTTAACAGGTAGCCTTTATGTCTAACATACTTTAATTTTGTAAGAAAAAAAGTGCCAGTGCCGTTAATATGCATCCTGCATAAATTAAAAAAAAACAGTTATATTTTAAAATCTAGGTCAGTCTTTATTAACTTTGAAGACCAAAATATAAATTTGAATGTGTAGCTTTTGAAAAGTCCAGTTCTATCCCGTATTTTTTTTTTGCCCATCTTAAATTTCGTTAGATTGTATAGATTTTTAGGCTTGCATATACATGTACAATTTTGCAGAGATAAGAAAAAGATACGCTATTTTTTCTTTGATCAATTGAGGCATTTAAAACAGAAAGATATGCAAAGGACAATTAAGAAATATACTCTGAAAATCGTATTTTTGTGCTATTGTTAGCCCGATTTGAGTGAAAAACGTTGAAACGCTTTTCAAATTAAAGTCATTTTTTTCACAATTAGAATAATAATTTTGGAAAATCTGAGCAAGCGAAAAATCTGACTTTGCACGTCTAGAACTACATCATATGGTAAATTAGTAAAAAAAACTCAGTGGGTCCCTTTAAGTAGAACAGGTAAATGGAAATATGGGCAATTATTCTGTCACCAAAACCTAAATTTTAAACAGAAATGCTTTTAAAAATATATACCCAACGTTGTTAAAACAAAGTGACTTGTACATAGACCAGTAACAGTCTTGGAAAAGTTTACAATGTTTGCAACAGAGAGCTATATACACATATATATATACTTACGAAAATTTCTTGGAGACATATATATAATACTTATATCTTTTGTGGGTTAATTATAGTCCAGAAACTGCATTTCATCGATTTATTAAAAAAGTATTCCTCAACATTTCAGCACAATTAATTTATATTTTTGTATGACACATTTTCGCACTTGTTTCCGAAATGTCTCCGCTATTCCTTAGACCCTCGTACTCTAGTTTGTGTGGTATCGAAATTCGTCAAAGCACCGCCCTGTTTTACTAAATTACATCTTAAATAGATAATAAGAATACAACAGTAACTATATCTATTTAAACAAAACTAGCTTTGATGAAAATCTCTCCGTACATCGCCGCGTTCTTTCAAAAAAGTAACAATGTGTTCATCCCGGACAAACATGCCGGGTGTCACATTTCCCAAGCAATGCTGATAAGTTTTATCCTCCTTTTGTCCAGGCTTCATGGGGATGAGTACGCTAAATACAGGCACAAATACAAACAATTATAAGGAAATAATAAGCGGATTTGATACGGTGACTGGCACAGACTTCATTGTTTGCCGGGATAAAAAAAATGTTTATATTTAATTAGGTAAAATTTATATAAAAATATTTTTTTTTATTTTATTGATCTGCGTATTTCAGCTTTTATGTATTATTGCGTCTGCCCATGAAATACAGTTTAAGTCTGAATTCGAACTTTTTCTTTTGAAAGAATTTTCTTAACTTTATTACGCAAAGTGCTACTCTCGTTTGTACCCTTGTAATGTCAATTTAACAAATAAAATGTTCGCGCTACAGGGCTTTCTGTCTGTTTTCTTTCTTTTTCTAAAGGCAAACAAATAAACGGTTTAAACAAATCTAAAGAAAATTAAAGATAAATTTTTGTTTTCTCTTTCTTTAATTTTATTATAATAGGTATGGCTAGTCACACTTGTTGTTTTGTTTAAGTATGAATCATTTCCATAAATAAATGACAAAGTGAAGAAAATATAATAAAAATTCAATCATTTCATGGTCAAGGTCTTTAAAGGTCAATGTCATATCTAAAATATTCCACATGTCCGTTTGGTCACAAGTGTTGTTTTGTCCACATATTAATCAAATCCGTACATAAATAACAAAATTATTATTTTGTCCAAGTTGAAAATAAGCCATTGATTATTTACAAAGATACAGCCAATTATAGTGATGAGCAGTGAAAATAAAATAATTTGACCTTCAGGGTCAAGGTCATACATGAGTTAATATCTATTTGAGTTTGTTAAGCTCCTGACCTAAAGTAATATGAAGTTTATTCATATAAAATAACAAAGTTACAGCCAGTTAAAAGAGAGAGAAAAAAACAAGAGAATTTAATTAATTTGACTTTGACAGTTAATGTTAAGGTCACATCTACATTAGCTTCATACAATGCGTATTCCTACCAAGTTTCATTAAATTAATATTCGCGAAGTGATATTATAGAAGATGTCGTTTGAATAAAATTCACATCTAAATTATTCAAAGGCAAGTCTTGTTTTGTTTAAGTTTAAATCAAATACGTACATAAATAGCAAATTAATGACAATTCAACAAAATTCAATAATTTGACCTTGAGGGTCAATGTCATTAAAGCTCACGGTCAAGATCAGTTCAACCTTTAAGACGGTTTTGTTTAAAATATTTTGCCTAAGTATACAGATAATTCATTTATTAATTACCAAGGTACAGTCAATTATAGCAAAAAACAGTGAAAATTCAAAACATTATCCTCCAAGGTCAAGGGCATCAAATATTCAAGGTCAATTTGAGTTTAGTATACATAAGGTCGCCGTTCATTTACATTAAAAAATTACACGAAAAGTATCAAAAATAGGTAGGAATGCAAAAAAATGCCCATATTAGTAGAAATATGGCAATAAATAATTGCATGTAACATGTAAAGTATTACTTAAGTTGTAAGTATTTTCACTTTTCTTAAAATCTTATTACATTTTTCTCAAGGTTGATTTTCTTGATATAATGTTGCCTCAATCTGCAGCTTTTCTTGTGAAAGAATTTCAATCAAGTAGCTAACATTTGTATTTTGGGAAACGCTTAAATACAACAGTAAGCTGTAAAACTGACTACATGTATATAAAAACTTCTTGTATTATCGAACACCCAGTAGATGTTCCACACTGTATATCGAGTGTACTAAATTCCCCGCTAAATCTCAGTCTTTTGGCGCCAAAAAGAAAACACCGCATTGCTCGTTCCCCCGCACTATAGGGTGGCATGCCGGGGTCACAAGACTACTGCATACTCAAATGTTACCCAACCCATTTTTACAAGGGAGGGTGAAATCTTTTTATATTATAGCCTAATGTGACGTCTGGAAATGAATATCACCCGGACATTTTTTCCTATTGCAATATTCCCAAGGGGCGAGTAATCTACAGAGACCTAAGAAAACATAATGTTCTAGTTCTCTCCCCTCGCTGCAATCGACGGGAGATAATAGCGGGTGTGCAATATTACCCCCGAGATTTGTTTCCCTTTAAAGTTGCACACCTCATGTTTCAAGCTATAGTTTATAGTATCAGTATTATATTTTTTGATAGAATTGTTTGATTTTGTATTGACATGTATTTTGAATGTATTGAAGTATATTTGGGTAGTATAGTGGGTCCTGGGGGGTGGTACCTTAGGGGTAGGGCTTGGTCCCACGCCGATAACCAGTGGTTTCAAGAATTGAGAAAAATGTACTAAAATTTTAAGAAAGGTAGAAGCATTCAAGATCCAAGTTATATTTTTCATGTAATGTGCGGTTTAATTTGCATATTATTTTTGCAGTATTTTATTACCATATTTCTACTGAGTTACTAACGCAATAAGGGCTATTTTTGCAGAATTATGTTGACTTTTTGGTAATTTTCTTGGATTACAACATGTAAATTTCTTTGTTCACCTCACAATATTTTACTTCTAAATACATTTCCATGGAAATTAACATGAATCTGGAGGCTTACTGATTTAAGCAGTCTGACCTGGATGGAGTGGCTGTTTTAGTTCTCTCTCATTACATATACGAAATATGACCACTAAAAACGCTGCACGGAGATACAAATGGGTTTAACAAATGTATACAGTAAGTCCTTATACATCCTTTATTAAAATAATTTCCACCTATATCCTGAAAACATCTTGCAGGCATGTCCACAACATACGATCATTACTTCAGAAGTCTGATCATAGCTTTCAGACTATCAAACTTTAAAATTATGGACCGTTTATACTATCGGTTTTTATTTGGTTAAATGCAGAACACAGGACCTTCAGCAATACACCAGTCCAGGTGATGTTCTATGCATCATTTTAAGCAAAAGCAGAACCAAGGGCACAACGCTTCTTGTATTCAAGCCAGCAAAGGGCAAGCATTGGCAAGTCATCTTTCTTCATTGGTAATTGACACTTTGCTAACCAAGTAGTATCAGTTTATTTCTAAGGCTTTCGTGAGCTATTAAACCAAAATTCCATACACATCTTCCAACAATCAAAACATTAATAAGGACCATCAAAAATCAGTTTTTCTCTTTATTAATTAGCTGTACATGTTATAACAGCAAAGACGTGTAAATTAATCTTCATCTTCCTCCTCATCACCACCACCAGAGCCCTTCTTGGCATTCTTCCTCTTTACACGACCTGTAATATAAAATAAAATATAGACAACTTGGAAGGATTTTGAAAAGTTTAATGAATGTGCACATTGATTTAACATTAATTTTTAAGTATCTGTGTTTTTAACCTCCAACTGCCCTTTAAGGTTATCTACCTACTTACTATATCTTAAACTATTTGCAAATGAGGACTCCATGAAAAACAGCAAGTGCAACTAAGCTCGGTAAGGACAATGGAGGACTTAACGCACAATAATTAATATCAGTCAATCAACAAATGGCAATAATTTTAAAGAATTACTTACCAGCACGTCCACCACCATATGGAGATGTAAGAGCAAAGTCAATGTGTTTCTGGGAGTCCAGACGGACCACAAATGATGGGATGTTCACAACTTGTTTACGTACTCTGAAATTAAATAGAAAATAATCATTTAAATTGGCATTAATAGTTGTCTTTCAAAGTCTACTGAATATGGAAATTTCATTAATTTTCAATCTGAGAATGCTGAAGTACAACAGTAAGACACATTTTTACATTATTTGTGGAATTTCTTACACATTCCTTTCTTGTTGTTACTTGAAAACCCATCCAAGAAATGACCCTGCTTTCTTACACACATGGTAATACCCCAGGATTTATATGCTCTAATAAATGGCACCATTTCTTGTCAAAACATTATTTAAACTGCAATTACTTACTTCAATTTCAATTACGTTTCCAGCATCTCTACTGCTTAATGTAGTCATTGACAGGCGTTGGACTTATGTCCAAGTGGTCTGTCTGTACATAGTGCTGCAGGATACAAAGAAAACCTCAGGCAAAGTGTAGACGTAGGACATTTTCCATGTCCAAGTGGCCTACAGATGCTTGTCAATGCAGACATAGGACGTATAATGTCCTAGTGGCCTACAAAGGTTTATACCTGATATGTCTCTGTCTAATCAACACACGAGCATGATGAATACTCTTAGCCAATCCAAGTTTGAAAACTTGTGTCTGTAAACGTCTCTCCAAGAAATCCTCAACACGTAAACCCAACACAAAATCGAGCTTCATCTTGGATTCGTCCAACACTCCAATTCTTACCAGACGACGCAAAAGGGCATTACCTGCAAGTCAAAATTTAATATAATTAAGAATTTATATCTCTAATCTATAAAGTTACAATATGGGACAGTCAGTTATCATGAAATGCCATTAAATTTTCAAAATATATAAGTACTGTAATATACATTCAAGCCAATCCAACTAGTAAATTAAGAGCATTGTATTCTCCAACTCTATTTCAACTTCAATCAAAACTTCCAAATTAATCAGCAATTTCTCTTTTTTTCAGGAGTAAACTTGTATATAATAAACTAAAGAAAATGGAATGAACCTTATACATACTCCTGGTTTAGACCCTGGAGTCTATTCCAGAATATAATCAATAATATCAATCTTTACCCTCAAACAATCTCTTTGGGTCTTTCTCTTCCAAAGTGAGGAGTTCTCTGGCAGACTTTCTGATTTTGGCAAGAGCATATTTCACTCTCCAGACTTCACGCTTGTTTCTTAAACCATATTCTCCAATAAGTTTCAACTCCTGGTCAAGACGTTCCTTTTCAAAGGGACGTCTAGGGGTTGTGTACGTCTTGTGCTGTACGAGCGGTACTCTTGGCATCTTGAATTTTTATGCCCTACAAATATTAATGAAAAGTGTTTAACAGATATCACTCACGAAGCCGATTTACAATATTTTAACTGTATCCCGGCTGGAATTCAAGTGAATTTGAAACATTTTGCTTTAAGTTCACAGAATTATACTAATATAGGGCTAAATAACGTCTTTCAAAAGCTCATAAATGACTGCAAACATAATAAACTCAACACATTCGAAACCTTGGGTTGTTGGCAACAAACTGTTACATGTCGTTCAGAGGTTAACTATAACCATGCTCGTAACTAACTCTAACAGGCCAACTGTAACATGTCGTCAAGTTCAACTGAGACTAGTGAGAGACTACATCTCTACATAACTATCAATATTTACTTGAATGTTGAATCAGACACCTACTGTAACATCTCAAATAGCATAAATATATAATGCAATAATTATGGCATCGATTTTTATCACTTTCTTATTATTCGGCAACTGATGAATGTGAAGAAAAGTGCATTGCATGTAAGCACGTCTTACCGATACGGCTACCACGTGAGAAAGGATGAAATTAGAAATAGTCCGTTAGTATATTAAACCGCAATAACTGACAAGTGGTTTTAAATACTTTTTTTGTGATAAACATACGTCTGTATATAAGTTTGAAAAACAGTCTGTCAATATTAATGTAAGTAAAGATATGTCAGCTTTTGTAAAAGGCCCATAATCAAATTATTTTTGCAAACTATATTTTACAGCGGAAAGATATGGTAAAGCGTCCGGTCTCACGTACGATAAATGTTTTGTGAAAGATTAAAGTAAATAGCTTTTTCGCGAAACGACAATCATCTTGACGAACTGGCAGGTTTATATATTTTTTTACGCAAGCTAACGTGATGTGATGTTCCTCTTCAGGAGCACCAAACATTCTCAATATGATTGATCTTTATTGATTAAAGTATGTAAAGCCATATATTTACTGCCTGTGGATTGTTAAAGTATTGTTTATACTGTGATTAAATATGGCCATAGAATACCAAGAATCAAAGAAATGTGTGAAAGCATGGGTCATGGCTGTAATGATCGCCAACTTAATTACTAATAGTAATACTGTAATAGCAGTTGGCAAAATATTTGTTTTGGAATATTTTATTCTGTTTCGTACAGTGTTCATGTATATTTAATTACACAGACATTATACATGTATGTTACAAATCTTTCAAGAAACAACCTTAAGATTATGAAAACATCATATTTAAAATGTTTTTATTTTTTATGAAATATGTCATCAGGTACAGCTTTATAAACTTTATTTGACGGCGCGCTTGCAAGCGGCGTCTAGTAGAAATGCAAAATTTGTAATAGGGAAAATTTTAGACTTGATTTTGTGCATTTTCTTTTTTGTTTAAACAAAAACACACTGTTTTTATTTTTTTCTAATAAAAATAGCTTTTCTGATGTACAACATGTCACAGAGCTTTAAGGGATTAGAATAAACATTTAACTGAAGTGATAGTGCCAAGTTTGAATATCATATTCTTTTTATCATAATCTTATTTAATCTACATAATAAATAACGTGCCAATGAGCCAGTCTATAGTCGATCGTTCTAAAACTTAAACGACTGAGGCAGTGTCACTTACTTCATTTGCTCCGCCTCTGTTGAGGTTCGGCCCCGCCTTAAATTGTCGTGAAATTTAATATGATGCTCCGTATGCTAGCATTTAGTCTTCGTTGATGGGTAAATTGCAAGTTACAAAGCCTAAACCACGCCCACTATCAGAGAGGCGGTTCTCCCTCTACCGCCTACGGCCAATAAGGGGAGATCAATGCAGAACAGTTCGTCCTCAAAATCATTTGAACATTATGCAATTCGTACCAATGTTTAAATGGATATATTCACGGCACATATATATTGTCTTGAATTTATTTTAAGTATACCAATCATTTCAATTTTACTTGTTATCCAATTTATTTTGCTTCGACCAGACGTGCCAATCTTTGTCGCAACAGACAAACATGTAAGAATTTCAGACATGGCATTACTTTGTGAATTTATGCATTAGGTTCTACTTTTTCTAAAAAAATATGCAACTTTATTATTAAACAACGAGCACATACCAAGAACAAGGAGAAAAAATTTGATTTGTGCTTAGGATATTCAACTGTAATAGAGAACGATTTTCAATGCTGATTGACTGTTCACATCATTTGGCGGCGTCTTTGATGTACAGCATCAACATTTAACTTGTACACTTAAAATATGTTACAGCAACATACCTCATCGATGGAAATCTGCAAATGTAGCCCCAATCTATAAGAAAGGTGATGGGGGAATCCAATTACATCCATGGGGCGTTGGCAATGACGCGATAGCTCAGTTGGTTAAAGAACTGATTATCACTCCAGAGGTCCCGGGTTCGATCCTGGGTTACACCCTTGGGATTTTTCAAAGACACTTTCAGTGTTTTCCACCTACCTAGAGGTGTACTGGAAAGAAATCCAGGTAATCCTTGCATGTATCAGTGCTCTACACTGGGCATGTAAAAGAAACATTGGGTCTATTCAATAAGAGCTAGAGACTGGTCCCGAATTCCCTTGTATCTCATAGCTGTCTCTTTAATTAATGTATACAATGTATACCTGTTTAGAGTGATTGTAAACGATTTTAAAGCAGTATGATGTAGAAGTAAATTTGTAACTTTTAATGTTAGAGTACATGTACATGAACTTGAAAAGGTCAATGTGAATAATACATAGCGCAAAAATACATAACGCGACAAACACACGGGGAAAATCATTAAAACTTCAAAGTAACAGGAGACGTAAAGCATATTGATTGACTGTAGGTACAATACTATATTTATTGAACGAGTTGAATAAAATCATATTACTTGAGCCTTTGTTATGCGTAATATCTGATTCAACAAGTTAAATAAATTTAGAAATGAAGCTACACGAATACAATATTTTATTCATTACATGTCAAAAAAATCTCTTTACGGTAAAAAAGAATCACTTTTTCATTGACATGCTTATAAAGTAAAGCTAACATTTAGTGAGTCTTCACTCTATGTTTCTATAATGCAAATGGCGTCATGTCAAAATATACATTGTATATACGGCCGTGCAATAACGTTTACGAGATTGCAAAAGCTGCACGAGTTTGTGAGAAATATATCAACACAAAAACACCCTCCTCACCTGCACATTGTATCTGTCTATCTGTAACTTCATGGCTTTTAACAATAAGATAAATAGATATTCCCTTACATTTGAGAATGGGGATATTGAATATATTTTTAAAAACTTTTCCCGATGTATCAAGGCTACTACCCGTTTCTTAATTAACTCAATTTTAATATAGCAACACATAGACTAAGAAGATGAAATTGAATTGATTTTATAGAGGATATTTGTTTAGTTCAGTGTAAGATCGGAATATATTTCACCGAGTGAGCACCAAAAGGTGTATTTCACGAGTGGCGCAGCCACGAGTGAAATATGAACTTTTGGTGTTCACAAGGTGAAATATATTTCGATCTTACACTAAACTAAACAAATTTTCTTTTTATTACATGCATAGAAACGTTTTAAAAACACCTTAAACCTAATACAGAATGAAAAGCGCGCCATATAATAATACAACGTGACGTCATTTACGACGTCACGTCATTAAGTTGGTACCCGGTACTGTGCACGCTGGTATTTTTAGAAGAAAAACCAGTGAATATACTCTGGAAATCTATTTTTAGGAAAAAAAACAGTGAATATACTCTGATATTGGCCTGTTATCTTTTACAAAAAATTGCTTGTTAGCCAATCAGGAAAAGGCATTTCAAAGCTATTTATAGATTATATAATAATGTTAAATATTCATTTGAGCATTATATTTATATATACAACCATAAAAAATGTGTTACAGGATCTTTTGTGTATCTGCCAAATTTCTTCAACATATAACGCTTGGATCTTTAGCATAAAAACTTAATAAACACATGAGTATGCATGCATGTATATTAATTTCAGCTAACACAATCAGATGCCTATTTCTTGTTTATATATATGCAGATACTTATATACAATATGTCTGTTACAACCCTTATTGTAATAAGCCGGAATTGTAATAAAATTATTACAAAACTGGTTAGGATGCCAAAATATTATTACATTTAGGATGTCAACCTGAATTGTAATAAAACCCGAAAATGTTATAAACGGTCAAATCTCAAGAAAATGTGTTAAGAAAAGTCTCGGTCACATACATGGTGTTTAAAACTAATATAAATTACATTTCAAATTTGGAGAGCAGAAATGGTATCATAAAGTTGATGACAACCTGCATTCTTTAAAGTACTTGACATGCAATGCATTCTATAGTTAATATACACACATTTTATTCCTACGATACCATGGAGAAATTGATTTTTAAGGTCACAATATTAATGTTAATTTATTGATGAATAAAAAATAAAAAAGGAAGGGATAACGTTCTTAAAATGTCAACTTAATAAATTTCAGAAAAATTGCCCAAATACTTAAATAAACAATTAAGAAAAAAGAATGGGAAATTAAAAACCCCTGAAGGTTTTTCTTTTCAAAAATATAAAAAAGAAAAATATTATTTTTCCAGATTTTTCCCATTGAAAAAAAGTTAAAGTAAGAGAGATATATTAGAACTGAAAAAATACCCCGTGCCACATTTTTACCCACAAAAAAATGTAGTAAAACCTATTTTTATGGCCCTATTTTAAATGTTAATTTAGTAAAAATAGCGTGTAGCCCAAATTTTTTGCGGCTATAAAGGGAGACGACGAAAATTTCTTTATTTGGGGTTTGAAATTCCCTGAAAAAAGGCTACTGAAAATTTTTTTCAAAAGGGAAAGCAAATCTGGAACGGGAAAAGCCCAAATGGTAAAGGTGGGTTTTTTTGTCCTTTTAAAAATCAGTAAAAGTACATTCGAAAATAGTGTTTTGGGATCTTTATTTCGGAAATTTAATTTTTGAAAAATTTAATAAATTTTTTCCGACTGCCTTACTTTTGATCAAAAAATTTTAACCAAATTTTAATCTTAATAATTTAGGCGGCTATTAAACGATAATATAATCAAATTGTAATGAAATTACTGCAAAATTTTAAGTGAAATTGATTAATTTTTAATATAATTTTTTGGGGGCAAGGTAATAAATTTAAAAAAGATTTTTTGAATATGCAATCAGTTAAAAAATTGGAATTTGATTAACGTTACAAGGTCTACGACCTAAAAAATGACGGAATATGGCACCTTATTGACAAAAATAATGTACTTTTTAATCTAAGTTCCTTGTCCCATTATATTATGTCCTAGGTTAAGCACAGATTGACACTTATTTCTCGGACAGCTCTTAGAGTCTTTTGTTTGATATACTGGAATTTATAACTTACTTTTACTTGTGTAGTGAAAGAATTTGTAGCATAATAATTAATTCTTTAAAATTATGATTGGTTATTTTTTTTTTATTTATATCACTGGTAATGCTATATAGCTATTAACAATTCATTTTGTACAGGTGCTCTTCCACCAGGAGATTTATTTGCACTTGGTAGTAAACCCACAAAACCAAGCGAATCAAGCTTTCAGAAAAGTTCATCATCTGGAAATTTAGTTGCGGAGAAGAAGTTGTCTGGTCTGGGAGACAGGAAGAGGGAGTCAGCAAGTTTACTAGCTCCAGTTGGTGTGGCAAAAAAGCCAAAGATACTTGGTCAAACCTTTACTCCTTTGGGTCGGCCTGCTGAGAGAGAAACAGAAAAACGTTTATCACCAGTACCACCTCTTAGCCTGGCCTTTGAAGAATCAGCCATAGAAGGTAAACATTGGTGTGATATACCCTCCCCCCCATCCCCCTTTAACACTTGGTTTCCTGACATTGAGGAATGAACTTTGGTTACTTCAAATTGGAACTGTCTACTGAACCTTTATCCTTTGTATGTTCAGTGTCAAATTTTGTGTGTAAAGCTGACCAGCATGCTTATAGAAAATCAGTGATTTAACTCAGGTGTGACATTGTTTCTGAAATAATACATGTTACAGTACTTTTCTTTGATAAAAGTAAATAATGGCCATATTATAATGTTACTATGCTGATGTCATAGTGTTAAATTTTTTGTTATCTGAATATAAATAATTAATGATTAATTTGTGTTATTCTTTGACTTAACAGGTGTTATTTAAAATTCAACCAGTTAACAAATAAAGAGACACAGCAGTTTATACATACTTTAAATGTATCATTAAAGGAGTGTAAATTTTGATTAAACACTGTATTAAGTCAATATCATAAATATGTTTAAATACTGACAATGTAGGGCAACAATGTTAACAAGACACTGAATTAAAAATAAAAACATGTATTTAAATTGAAGTGCGGGGGTTAATGGTAAGTTTTGGAAGCCCGGGGGAAAAATGATTTTTATAGACGGAAGGATGGGTTTTTGGGGGGTCAAAATCTCCTCAAAAAAATCTAAACTGAAATTGTATACCTTACCGATCATGTAGTAAGCTAAAAAAAGTGTTTCAAAAATGAAATTTGTTTAGAGGTAAGAAAATACTAAAAACTGTGACCAAGAAGCAAAAGCGTTTGTTTACTGTCAGACCATTTAATTTTTTAATAGACATTGGGCTGCTTTTTTCCAAATTGGAACAGTTATTTATAAAAAGGGGTTTAGTATAAGAATTCTAAATTGTACAGCAGAATAGAGGTTTAACATATCTCAAAAATCACTAATTTTACTCATACTTATTTACGGTAATGGCTATTTTTTATGTAACCCGTGTTAAAATTGGGGAATTGAATATTTTAATTTATATAAATAAACAAAAAAAATTTTGTGCAAAATATTTTAAATCTTTAGATTTTTACATAAAACAGAACAAAATTTTACAAATTTCTGCAAAAGGCAACAATAGTCCATTAAATTTGTGCATACGTCTGAAACAATCATCATTTTCTAAATGTTCTTATTTGTTGAAAAAATAAATTTTGATTTTCAAAGTAAAAATAGTTTTAATATTAAAAGTTAAGCAAAAAAACATGTAGAAATTTTAGCTGAAACATGAAAAACCTGAAGTGTAACACCATTTACGCGATTTTAAAGATGACATACTGTTTTCAAAATGGCCAACATATGGTCTACGTCTGGCCTATAAAAAATGATTTTGAATGAATATATTGTTATATCCTTGTGTCATACAGCAGAAAATACCTATATGTTACAGCTCATGACAATTTTTGTACCATAAGTTTCATTTGTTGTTTTTTTTCTGGTTTACCGTGAACTAAGAGGAGCACAGTATACTGCATGGATAATTGAATATGGATGCTGGGGCCTTGATTTGTATTGGTGGCATAATGCCACTTGTTGTGAAAATGGTTAAAATCACTCTTACAAAAGTGAGAATTGTTTGTCCATTTCAGCATTATGAGTGTTATGAGAAGACAATGTGTTGATTGTAAATTGGGTAAACAAACATATAAAATGTGTTAAATTTCTTTCAGGCATTCTGTACTTTGCTGAAGAGGGACCTGTCATTGAATTTTAAGTCTAAAGGAAACAGTTTGGTGTCTGTGTTGGCCTGTAATGTTCTCATGAAAGCTTACAGTGACGAAGATAACTGGCCTGATGATTTTGTGAAGGTAATAAGTTGTTTTATCACTGCTTCATGAATTGTTTTACTGTATCAATTTATTTTATTAAATTTAGGAGGTTGATTGCAGAACGAAAACGGATGTTATCAATTTGAGTGTGGTTGTTTAAATAAGTTGATTAAAATGAATTTCATTGGAGGAGATAGATGACAAGTGCCTATTAATGCATATATTTTATGCATTATTCTGAGCACTAGAACATGTATATGCTTTGATGTTATATCTGCTAATTTGTACATTATTTTTTTAACATTGGTCAATATTTAATTGTGTAACATAGGTATATATAGATGATGCACTAGGTGAGAGAGTGTGGGTAGACAGGGCTGATTGTAAGGGATTTGTTGACAATATCATAACAGCATTCAATACAAATGCACCAACAGGAGGTATAAGCTCTCTTGAAGTAAAGACAGAGCCCGGCTCAGGTAAGATCTTGAGAACTTAAACTTTCAAGGGTCGGACTGATGTCTAATTTTCATCAATGTTTCGGTTTTAAGTCTAAACCTTACTTAACATTTAAAATGGTTAAGTCAGTGCTCTTGTATCATTGAGCAGAAATCTCTATAAACCACTGAATTACAAAAGAGAAAATTGTAGACAATAATTATTTGAAATTTACAACTTAAACTCCTTTTATCACTGACTATACATCTACATGTTCTTCAAGTGTACAATATCTTTTCTCTATGTATTCTCTTTAATCGCAACATCAGTTTGGTTGCATTGTATAGTAATTTTTAATAAGTATTCCTCATTCTTAAATGCAGTTTATATGACCAACAAAATTTGAAAACAATATCAAGATTTCAGTATATTGCTTGGATATGTAATATGATGGCTCACTAAAATGGATGAAAATTTTATTTTTTGTTAAAAAAATATGATGCGTAGAGCAAGAAAATGAATCTAACTTCAAAACTCAATGATTCAGCTAGGGAAAATCCTTATAGTAAACATGGACAGCTTTATAGTGAAAAATTACATGTTTGAAATATCTGAGTTAACAAGCTGAGTGTCAATATTTGTACACTGGGTTTATATGTTACAGCAAGTCCAGTGGTGAGTATAGGAGAAGATGAGGAAATAAAGATGGAGGTGGACTCTGATAAATCTTCAAGTTCTACACCAGAACTACAGAATGTCACTGTATATCCTCGGTAGATACTATTCATTTATATATTATACTATTCATTTAATAATCATTTTCTCAGATAAATTTGATTTTGTGATATTAAATGATACAATTGCTTAATTCACATAAAATCTTCCAGCAGTATTTTGATTGGTATTAATTAGTATAACTTAATGTTATCACCTTTTATCAGTATTCAAAAAGTGTATTTTATGTGCTAAAAGTATGACCATATTCATAGCTTGATTTATAAGGAAGCTTATTTGGACTTATTCTGGACTAACCAGTGCTTTCGCCATGTGAGGAAACCTAATGGTGATCCCTTTAGTTAAGCTCGGACCAACAGTTTCTGGTTTGAGATGCAGACACTGTAACCATTTGCCTGTCTTTCCCTTCTTATTTGATGTACAATTTTCATCATGCCCTATTTTTCCAAATTCATGTTATTTTATTTTTCATTAAATGAAGGAAAATATAATATATTTTTCAGATATCCATACCAGGTAGACAATATAGAGACGTTAGTGTTGGAGATTATACATGATCAGTTAGTGAAGAGGCAGTTGATGGATGCATCATCTAAAAGTCTTATTAAACTAATGACGGCCACCTGCGGGTACGGTGAAGTACGTCAGATCGCTGGACAGAAATTGGAACTGTGGCTTCAAAATCCTAAAGTATGTTTATGACTGTTTTAGCTATGTGATTGTTCAAGTTATCATATAACCTTGATAATGTGTTTGTTACTGAAAAATCTCAGCTCATCTAATTTGCATCTGACTTAAGACATTGTATTGTCAAAATTAAGGGTGTCATGATTATAAAAAATGGTATCCGTTTAAACAGCTACATAATAACTGTGTTAAACATTTTTAAACAACCGTTTTAATAAAATCCTTAAATTTTTAACATTAACTTTGTTTCTTTATGACAAAATATGACATTTTGTTCTTATTTTGTTGTACTCAAAATGATTATAATACATATCCGATATATATAGTAACTTTTTCTGTTAGCGTTGTACCGTACTGGATCAGATAGGGAAAAAAACATTGTTGGGTAAAACTAATTACAAACAAATTGTCTCATCTTGTTATATAACACTAAGGTATTATTTAGAATCAATTTAAAACTTTTTCGCCTTTTTATCAAAAAATAATCTCGGTTATCGGTTATTGAATTTTCAAACCGGTTTTCAGCTAAAAACCAACTGTACCTGTTTAAACAGATAAATGTGACACCCCTAGTCAAAATAGTATTTATCAAACTTACTATAAACAGGTATGGTCAAACAAGTCTTGTTCTTTGTTGTTACTTCATAATTTAGTTGCTTTTAAATTGTTTAAAAAATACAAAATGATTTACATTGTTTAAAAAAAGAATCAAGATTTACATTGTTTAAAAAAAGAATCAAGATATATACATAATATTTCAGCTTGCAAGAGCCTCACAGGAGCTGCTAATGTCTGTCTGTATGAACTGTGTTCAACATGATGCTGGGGACATGGAGGTTATAGCCATGTTGATTAAGATGAGAATGAAAACTAAACCACTCATAAACCACTACTTGAATTGTATCAGGTAAACCACTCATGAACCACTTCTAAAATTGTGTCCGGTAAACCACTCATAAACCAATATTACTTGAATTGTGTCAGGTAAACCACTCATAAACTACTACTTTAACCTTTTACCCCATGAGCATATTACTAAAAATGGCCGTTTTCATTGAAAAGCCTCCTGTAACAAGTTCCAACTGCTATGAAACTATGAAAAATGCTTCAATACTGATGAAACTTGGCACAAATGTTGATTAGACCATAGCCTCTGTAACAGCATGCTCAATCTTAAATTTCCCGTTACCATGGCAATGGGGGGGGGACGTCTCAAAATTGCCAAAAAACACTATTTTGCATTGGTTTTTTTCCATCAAAACTGATTTCAAAGTGCTGCAACTTCTCAATGAATTCAGATAGAGTAAAAGGCTTTTCAGTGTCAGTTTCTAGTTACCCTAAGATCGACCTGAGGCCATTTTTTGCCTGTCACATGTCCAAAATTTTCTTGGTGATGAGGGGGACTATGCCCCCCTTCAAACCCCCCAAAGAGAAGGGGGCACATCCTTCTGGCAACCCCCTAATGTAACATTTGGATGGGGGGTGGCGCCGAAAAAGTGGTCACTTTTTTAAAAAACATTTCTCAAACAAAAAACAGTGTTTTGGGCCAAATAGGGCATTTTTTTACTGTTTGATGCCTCGAATGGGGGGAGGGTGGGCAAAAAGCCGTCAAAACACGTCTATTTGAGGGAAAAGGTTAAGTGTATCAGGTAAACCAGTACTTGAATTGTTTTCAGGTAAACCACTCATAAACTACTATTTGAATTGTATCAGGTAAACCACTCCAGAACCACTTCTTGAATTTTAGCAGGTAAACCACTCAAATACTACTTGCATTGTATTAGGTTAACCACTCTTTAACTACTAGTTGAATTATATCACATAAAACACTCATAAACCGCTTCTTGTAATGTATCAGCCTTTCAGGTAAACCACTCATAAACCACTACTTGAACTGAAATTTTTGTCTTGAGAGATAATAATGTCTTATAGGATGTTGAAAGCTGACAGAGTTTCATTGCATTGAGTGCTGTAAAATTCATGTCGATCTTTGCTCAATTCAAAACTTAACAGTTGTCAAAGAAGTTCTTGTGTATATTATCTAATTCTATTTGGTTGTATATGTTGCAGAGAGTTGTTAGGTCAGCATACAGACAACATGAGAATGGTTCTCACTCATACAATCTACAACGAGCTGTCTACCACAAGAAACCCTAACAATATGGCCTTAATTGGTGTTGTTTTCACTACAAACCCAGAAAATGCTGCCAAGGTATTTATAGAATACATTAATTTTATCATTCTTCTTTTTGATGTGAAAGGTAGACAGAGTGCAGCTACATGTAGCTATTTCCTCTATATGTTTTAACTTTACTAAAGTTATTGATTCAATGTGGGGAGACCATTATGTGTGATTACACACTAGCTGTTAGTAACACACAAACTTTATGCTCTTGATTTGAAAAGATAAACAATACATTAGATAAATAAGGTTACTTTGTGTTAAAATGATGGGTTTTCTGAATAATTCAAGAGACTATAGTAAAGGAATGTTTGTTCATTTCAATATGAAAATACTGACATTAGCCAGGCTGTACAGATATGCAGGCAGTCATGGTTCTATACTAATGGCATATGCAAGTTAATATTTACAATAGCTTTTTTTAAGATACAAATATTTGATATATTTTAGATTTTAGCGGAGATATTCCAGGACTTGTTAACAAACAAGGATGATTATTTACGAGCACTAAGGGCACTGTTCCGTGAGATTGTACGTTCACTGAGATACGAGATAAACTTTTCATCATTCTGCCTGGCTTTGATGCAGGAACGAACTGAATCCAAGTTCACAGACATGGAACCAGCTTTCAAGGTTCTTGTTGTTGTAATTAATCTGATTTTTATGCCCCCGCCATATAATAGCCGGGGCATATAGTGTTACCCTGTTCCGTCCTTCCGTCATTCTGTCATTCCGTCATCATTAGTTTCGTTCATTATCTTAATAACGGTTGCACACATTCAACTCAAATTTGACAGAGTTATGCCCCTTATTATTAGAAAATAATATGAAATTTTCAGTTTCCGTTCATTATCTCCCCAACGGTAGAACACATTCAACTCAAACTTGACATATGGATATGTCATGAGAAAATACAGGTCAAGTTCGATTTTGGTCATGGTTCGATGATTTTTGGCAGAGTTATGCCCCTTTTACTTTGAAAATAATACAAAATTTTCAGTTTCAGTTTATTATCTCCCCAACAGTACTTCACATTCAACTCAAACTTGACATATGGATATGTCATGAGAAAATACAGGTCAAGTTTGATTTTGGTCATGGTTCGATGATTTTTGGCAGAGTTATGCCCCTTTTACTTTGAAAATAATATGAAATTTTCAGTTTCTGTTCATTATCTCCCCAACAGTATTGCACATTCAACTCAAATTTAATATATAGATATGTCAATGGAATGTGCAGGCCAAGTTCGAATTTGGTCATGGTTCAATGATTTTTGGCAGAGTTATGTCCCTTTCACTTTGAAAATAATATTTAATTTTCAGTTTCCATTCATTATCTCCTCTAGGGTATTACACATTCAACTTAAATTTGACATATGGATACGTCAAAGAAATGCACAGGTCAAGTTTTAATTTTGTCATGGTTAAATGATTTTTTGCAGAGTTATGCCCCTTTAACTTTGAAAAAAAGGAAATTTTCAGTTCCCATTCATTATCTCCCCAACATATTCAACTCAAATTAAAGATATGGATATGTCATAAGAATGCATTGGTCAATTACGAATTTGGTCATGGTTTGATGATAGTTGACAGAGTTATACCTCTTGAACTTTGAAAAAAAATCAGAAATTTTTAAGTTTCCGTTCATTATCTCCCCAATGGTTGTACACATTCAACTTAATTTAACTAAGCAGTTAAAGTTTGAATTTGGTCGCGGTTCAATGATTTTGGACAAACTTATCTTTCTTGAATGGTGGAAAAATTTTGAATTTTCAGTTTCAGCTCTCATACTTTGGTGGAAATGTATGTGGCCATTATTTTGGCTACAAATATGCAATATGCGATTTACAAAAGGTTAAGACTGAATAATTTCAGTGCCTTTAACATTGTATAAAAATGGTTTGTGTTAACATTGAATAGTTTTAAGGGCTTTGAACTTACAATGAAAAAAATTAATTGTTGCATACAAATTGTTTTGAAACTAAATATTGTAACATCTGAAATTTTGGCTGCATGCGGGGGCATCCGTGGCATGATGACACATTTCTAGTTTTAAGTTTGGCTTTGGTATAAAACAAATTTTTTTTTTTACATATATTTTTTATATAAATAGTTGACAAAAACATTGAAACTTGGCAAGTTTTGTTCCAGAGGCAGTTTCCTAACAAATTTTCCATGACTTTACCAGTAGTTTACTTATTTTCCAACAAGTAACTGCAAACTTCCCCACATAAAATACCATTTGAAAAAGCTATACTGGTGTTTCAATTTAATGTTTTACTAATATAGCATTATGCTTAACATTGTTTTGAGCAAATGATGGTGACAGTACATACAAAAAATATAAAAAAATATGTGAAGTACAAAGAAAGCAAAGTACCAGATCTGAAATCTGTAGATAAAAACATTGTTTTAACTGGATTAATAGGAAAATAGCATGTTGAGTGATTAAGATACAAACAACATAAGCAAATAGTTAAAACTTTATTGTTGTTTGTAGGAGAGATATATCCTGGCAGTGACAGACTTGGTCTGTATGTGTGTTCTTCAAGCTATCACACCGGCTGTAAGAGAGGCCGTTACTGCTCTTAACAGAGGAGATAAAAAAGGTAGGTCATGAGATACTGTAATCTTAATTTGATCATTTGTATGTGTTTTCTTGCATGAATTAGTAAAGGTCATAGTTCATAATGTAGTGGTATTAATGGAAGACAGATTTGTAATAGACTAAAATTTTAAAGGTTCATAATTGCTTTGAATAAATTGTTGGCTGAAGCACATTTTTTAAGAAGATGGAAGACATATGTAAACCTTGTACATGTATTATATCCCTTTCCATTTATTGCATGTTGTTTACTGTGGAAATCTTATTTATCAATTAACAGAAAAATAATGGATATTTTTAGTCCATTATTTGTACTAAATACATGTGACTGAGTTAGTTTTGTTGGCCAAGAGCAAATCATGCACTCGTACAATATAAGACTAAATGTTTAAATTTGACTATGAAGTCTTAAATCACTTCTGCTTAATTTCACTCCCTGTTTTCTATCGGCAAGGTTGAACACCACCCACATATATGACTTGGCAATACCGCTACTAAAAATCTAGGTCTGCTTGCATTGAAAGCAGTCTGGCTTAAATGTTTATTATGAGCTGTTTCCAATTTTGTATTGAAATGATTGAAATTAACAAGTAACAATTTGAAGTAGGTCAGGTCCAGTATATAAATTGAACAAGGATATTACTGAATTTTTTTTTGGTAAAACAACTAAAAAAATCAGCAAAATAAAATGAGAATTGTATTTATTTTAGATGTGGAAGTTATCTACAGTTATCAGAGCCTTGTTGCGGTCATACAGAGGGATGCTATATGGTGGCTACATACAGTTGTTCCTAAATTCTTTGAACCTAAACAGCAAGAATATGTGTTCTGGTAATTATATGATTATTCCATTTTATTGCATTATTCCTTTTTGCATCACTTTTCAACTTGGCAACTTACCTTTTCTAGAGACAGCATGGACTAATTGTTTAGTCCTAATTGTGACCTTGCAGCAATTCCTTTTAGTTGCAGCTTTGCGTCCATACTCTCAATTGGAACCTAGACATTTTTTTCTCATGCTACAGATTGACCATTAGTGTCCTTTAGTCATGGATGCACCCCAAGTATTGGGTATACATATATCTGGGTAAAACTCCTTACTGTTTGTTGCTCGGTTTAAATATTTTGATTTTCATGGAAGAAAATTTTCATATAAAAGTACCAAGTGAATCAATTTTTTGTGAAAAATGTTTTAGGTGTAGATATCAAACTGAAATATTGTTATAAAATGGCTAGAACTGAATAATGGAATGCAAAAAACGACTTTTCAAAAACAAAAAAAAATAGAAAAATAATAGATCTATTTTATTTATATTATCATAATTTTTAACGATGAAGATTGTATTTTTGTTTGTATTTTAGTATGAGAAAGATGTTATTTATGGAAAGTGGTGATCAATATTCCAAAGATAACTGGCCAGCAGAGGCAGACAGAAGGTATGTTTGAAAGTTTAGGCGTATTAATTTTGAAAAAAATTCAAGAAATTTTTTATAAACCAGAATTATTATCACTTAGTAGGTTTCAGAATTAAAAGTTTTTTACACAACATTTATTTTTTTAGTGCCATGATAAAATTTGGAAAAAGCCGTCCTTTAAGATTTTAAGAGTGTTTTTATTGGGCTACAGAAAATTCCCACTCCCAAATGCCGAGAATTTTTTGAAAACCCGACAAGAACCTCTTTAACCTCAAGGTAGGTTCCGGTAGAGAGTTGAATGTTTTTTAGCTTTTCTAATTGTTTTGCTCAACTCGGAAAACTGACTACCCGCCGGGTAAATTCTTATTTAAAAGTTTCTGAACATAATATAGAATACAAATTTATTCCTGAAAGATTCTAAATAATGAAGTTTTGATGTAATCAGTAATGATGAGAAGCTGGATGATGGTCTTGAAGTGTTGTTCTGGCAGCAATGCTTTGAAGGTTGCGATGTGTTAACATTTAAATATACTCTAAAAAAGATTATTTTTTCCTGGCCATTTTTTTTTTTATTGATGTTAAAGAAATTCTTATATATTTTCTAATGAAGAAACAGGTTTCTATTACAGCTTGTCGATGGTTTTTTTTTCAGAATTTTTGCAGGTAAATAAATCTAATTTATGATTTTCCTGCCAGATTAAATAGAGGATATTGAATGAGTGTAGTTAGATACTAAATTTATTGAACGAGTTGAATAAAATCATATTATGCGAGCCTCTGGCGAGCATAATATTGTTTTATTCAACGAGTTCAATAAATTTAGTATTGAATCTACACGAATATAATATTCTTTTTATCACATAAATAAAATAAGAACAGTAAACTGTTAAAATGAGTAATTTTTCAATGACGCTTTTATAGTGTAACGCATTAGCGCGCTTTAACGCTTTGTTTCTCTTTAGCGCAAATGACGTCACGTCAAAGTGTTATTACACTAGTGTAATATCGTTTTCATTAAATGGCTTTATTACACTCCTGTGCCGCGGTTTATGTGATAAATAAATTTAAAAGTGGGTTTGGTCTACCAACTTTGTTTAGGTGTTCAACCCTAGGTATGACCTGACAAATGTTGGTACATATTTGTATAAAGTCAAGCTAGCCTTAATTCAAAATCCAGGAACACCAAGTTAACAAAAGGCTGTTAATATGACTGACTTTGTCCTTATAAAAATCTTATAGACATATTAAATAGATATTATGTATATTTCAGGTACACACCACCACAGCTGGCAATATCTAACCTGTACTGGAAAGCCTGGACTATCCTTTTAATCATATCTGCATATAATCCAACATATTTTGGTAAGTTTTACCTCGTTACCAGGTTGTTTAATTATGTATTAAGAAAGTCCACTTTAATGATAATATTTCAGTATTGAAAGATAGATAGCTTCAGTATATAAAACATTATAAATGAAATATCATTATATAATAATGAACATTGTGACATAACTGATAAAGAAAATTAAATACATCTAGCACTATAATGCTTACTGGAAAAAAATGCATAGACATTGTGTTCTGTTAATGCTGTTTATGCCCCAACTACTTAGGAGGTGTTGTTGCCTGTCTGTCTAGCAGTCACATTGTCTGTCTGTAGACTGGCAAAATAATGAAATGTTGGGGCATCTATATCCTATGGACACATTTCTAGTTTGTATTTGCATCATCAGCATAAAACAATTTGAATACAGTCAGTGATTAAATAAGCATTAATAATTGACAGTCAGCTATATTTATATATTTGATTAAAACTTGACTATTTTATTTGCAGTTTACATAGGGAGAATTACCCCAAATTTAAAAGTTATAAAGAGAGGGTGAGAAAAAAATAAAGCCCCAACCAACAGCTGTAGATGATTCGTTTTTGAAGAATTCAAAGAAAAAAAACGGTATTTGCCCTTTTGATGTTGTTTTTTGTAATGAGCTCAATGTTCTAAGTGTACCTAAGTTTAGAAAAACCAATTTATACAAATTAAAAAGCCACACCTCTAGAGGAAAGATAAAAAATAAAAATAAAAAGTAAACAAAAAATTGACAGTTGGGTTTTTTTTAATCCTACACTGCCCCTAATTAAGAAAGAATGTTGCAAAAGCTTTAAATAAAATGTTTTTTATTTCCATAATATATTACTAATGAACCCAAATAAAAGGAGGAAATTCATTAACGGGTCACTTCACAACTGGTCAAAAAACCCCGGTATCCGGTATGCCCGCGGATCGTTTATCAATTTTTTCGTCATGAGTAGGCCCCCTATACCACATTTTCAGCTAAAGGTTAAAATCGTAAATTGGTATCATATATATGAAATAATTAATCATTATAATGTTTAGGGCCATTAATTACTACAAATATAAAAACAAAAGCATTATTGGTACCCTATATGTGTGATAAAATCTGGATCCGTGTGTTCCGGAGCACAGGTCGCGATATTGTCCTGTACCATCACTGTGATTATAGAAAAAAACCAGGATGAAAGAATCCGTGGTATAAAAAAAGAAGGTATTCCCCGTGATGGAAAAGCCGAACCATTTGTTTTTCAGAGCAATAATGTTAAATATGAACATTTTAAGTGTCATGTCATTATCTTTCAAACTATATAATGTTTTTGAGGGGGGATTTTGAAAAATTAGCAATACGGCAGTTTTTCTGCTATCTTCTGGAGGTCAGCTGCTTTAAGACCATTTCAGTAAAAAATCATCTTCAGTCAAATACTGTAGAATAAAAATAAAATCATGTGATGCGCTTGTCATTACATTGATCTGGTTTTATCATTTACTATTAGGTGGCACAAAAAGAGAAGCAAGAAATTTTAGAGTTTGAAGGTTATCTGGCGGCCTCTACAACTAAAGTTACAATAACTGAAGCCAATAGTCTTCTTATAGCACAGCTTACTTCAATGGATCCTACGTAAGTTCTTACACTTTTGTTTTGTTGTTACATATAACCAACCTGTAATTTATGAGTTGATGCCATATAAGCTGTTGGATTTTTAAATTGATGTCTGAAATGGATCCATATTGTATTGAAAATAAATACAAATGTAAATGAAAAAAATTATAGTGCTTAAAATTCTACATTAGTGTTTTCACAAATGCATATTGTATTGAAAAAAGTTTTGGTCATAAAACTCATTGGCCATTTCTAAGAGAGAAGATTTTTTCTTGGATTTTTGTGTAAAAATTAAAGTACAAACAAATGATTTAAGCGAATGTCTCAATATTTGCACCGCTCCATTACAGTGTCGCACTAGTTCATAGTTTTCAATATCACAGTACTAGAAGCAACATAAAGTACATGTCAAGACAGATTTAAGACATCTGGTTAGCTCAATAGGTCGATTGTTGGAATGTGAATCAGGTGACCTGGGTTCATTTCCCGGATGGTGCAGGTCACTTTTGTTGTGATTGATCATGAAATCCTTTCAATGGTCATTCACACTGTACTGCTGCTCAGGCATGTACAGAAGTTATCAGTGCCTTGGAAAAGTGAAGGCAGCTAGAACTGGTAAACTTCTTGACAACCTGCCCAGGAACTATGTGTTGGCAGAATGCTGCTATGGTAAATCAGTGTGGCTTACTGCGGTGATCTGAAGTGAAAGCTACCAACACCACAACCACCACTAGGCAGATTACATTGACGGGCAGACTAAGTTATTTCTATTCTAGCAGTATAGTCAAGATACCGTACTAATATAGCTGTATCATTTTCACAACCAGTTTTCATTAAATGAAATACAATCACAAAAAAGATTTAAACAAAAAAATTCTTTCTGCAGTGGACCGGCACGAAAACCTCCCCAGCAGATAATGGACCAGTTAAGAAGTATAAATGACTCTCTGAAGATTGGACAGATGTTATGTAGAAGTCGAAACCCAGATTTTCTCCTAGATATCATTCAAAGACAAGTAATAGAAATTGTTTGAAATAAGCTTCAACAAAGGTCCTGCATTGAGAATAAACAGCTTTACTGATAGGCTGACATCTTCTTTAACACTGAATGTCCATATTTCAATGTAATGAAAAAGTAATAGTTAATAAATAGAGGTTTTTGAATGAGTGTCGGTTCAGTACTGAATTTATTGAATAATTATATTATGCGAGCCTCTGGCAGTCATATTATTATTTTATTCAACAAGTTAAATAAATTTAGAAATGAAGCTACACAAATATAATATTCAGTTTATCACATGTCCAAAATAAGAACTGTTAACGTTAAAAATAATCACTTTTCACAGACGCACTTATACTGTAATGCTAACATTCAGCATGTCTTTACGCTATGTTTATATAATCCAAATGACATCACATCAACATGTATGCACAGTCGTGCAATAGTACAGTTTTTACGAAGTCGCAAAAGCGGCATGTGATATTTTTTGATAAGCCATGTTATAGTACTCTTCCTGTCTTTATTCTGTATGCTGCAGACTTATTCTGCTTAGCATTTACAATTGTCTGTTTATTTCACTATTCAAGAAATTTATTTTATTATTAAATCAGGGCACCAGTCAGTCTATGCCATGGCTTGCTGAGCTAGTAGAGTCATCAGAAGGGTCTCTGGATGTTTTACCTGTGCAATGTTTGTGCGAGTTTCTCCTGCATGAGACTCAAGATGTTGTTAAAGATGGTCAAGATGATGAATCGGTCAAGTTTGAGAAACACAAGAGAAAACAGGTATTTAACTGTATTTTACCATGAATAGACAAAAAAAGGAACAAGCACCATTTATAAGGGTATAATTTATTATACAATTTTCTTTGAGTGATATGATGTGATGTTTCAAAAATGTTCATGCAAAATGATGTTTATGTCAGTTAGAGGGGTGTCCATGGCCGAGTGAGTAAGGTTGTTGACTTCAAACCATTGGGGGTTTGAATCCAGCCAGGAACTTTGGACTTTTTCATGCGAGAAAGCTATCCAGCTAGCTTATGGAACGTCAGTGGTTCTCAGATGCCTGTTTGTGCCTGAAATAAAGCACATTGTGCACCTGAGGTCTTCCTACACCAGTAAAGCTGGAAAGTCACCAGATGACCTTTGCTTTGAAAGTGCGACATAAAACCCTAACAACCAACCAAAAAAAAAAAAAAAATGCAGTCAGTAAAGGATGGTTTCTCCAACTATACCTACCTCTTTTATGGATGAGAATAAATGAGGTCCACCCCTTCCCCCCACACACACAGAAAATTACTGATTTTATGTACCTATATTTTTATATAGAAAATGAAGAAGCAGCAGCAGTTACTGTCACGTCTGCAGACACTTGTACATGATACAAACGCAGACAGCAGTACAACACATGAGGTCATAGATTATTTCCTGAAGAGACTCGCGTCCACTCAAGCTGCTAACAGGGCACTTGCTACAAAGGTATTGAAAACAGGAAATTTTGTCAACTAGTACAATGTATTTGAATACAAGAATTAGTCTGTAAAATTGGGTTGTAATAGATATTATAATGCAAGGATTCAGATATTGTTTCTTTTAAGTTAAGGCTGTTTTTGCGAAAAATATTTTAATTTGCTTTTCTTTAAATATATTTAATTTTCTCTTACTTTTTAGTACAGATCATTGAAGTGGTATATTTTCATCACTTTTTATGTCTGATTATTAATGGCATACTCTAAGCAATCCTTTACATGTTAGGAATTTACCACACTTGAGCTTGTGGATGTTGTAGAATATGTTTTAATTGGAGTGAACTTTTAGTAATACATGTAAATGAATGTATTTCAGGGAATGTCTATGATCATCTCAAGGTCACAGTTGAGTCCCACAGAGGAAGGTCCTGTTGCCATGGAGATTGATGAACATCATCAACATAACTGGTTACTGGTCAACTTTCCCGCTCTACCCATGTTCCCTCAAGTGAAAGCTAAAACATGTGCTGCTCTTAGACAGGTGAGATGTTATTTAGCATTGATTATAATTATCATCCTGAAATAACTTCTTGCATATCAGACTGGTGCTTCTGTTAGTTTTATCCATGCAGAAATTTATCGGGCCCTGGGGGGCAGGAGTCACATCCCATACCAAGGTTGACTGTTTCATTTTGTGCATTTTATATAAAAAACCTTTTATAAGACGTCATTTCAGTAAAAAAAAACTTTTTCCCCGCGATGACACTTTTTTTTGTTATAGTTCAGTTTAGTAGTGAACTACACGTGCCTGCAGACAATAGAAACAGTCTTGCCGTCGGCGATTTTTCACCTTTTGCTATTTGGCTTACTTTTTAAAAAATTTTTTAAGGGTTTTAATGGTTTCACCAAATAAAAATCGCAAGTAAATTTTAAATTTTTTAGCAGAAAAGGGTGAACAAGCAGGAAAGGGGAAACTATGAAACAAAAATATACGATATAGTGATGTTTTTTGATGGGTAAAATTTTGTATAACTGAAAATTTGAAAAGAAAGGTTTTTCAATAAATAAATTTGCACAATCTTTTAAAATTAATAGTTTATATCCATTACCAAAAATAATTTAACATTTGGTATTTTTACGGGCGATAAATTAAAGCAGACCCGGGTTTGTGAGGCTTACATCATTTTCTTTTAAAACATACAAGATAACAAACAAAAAAGGGAGAGCTACCCTCGAATTTTTGAATTTAAAGTAAATTGATTGTATTAATTTTTTTTTGTAATTAGGCTTGAAAGCTAACCAAAAAAAAAGGGGATACTTGGACTACAAAAATTGATGGGGTTTTAAATTTTCTGTCTTTTTTTTTTTTTCAAATTTGTTTATTTTTTTTTGCTGTAAAAAACAAAATATTTATTTTTAAATTTAATTTAAAATTTAAAAAAAAAATATTATTTAAATGAACAGGGTTACCACTTATAGAGGAGAAAACAAATTAAAAATTAATCCCACCCAAAGGAAGGCAAATCACGACATCAAATTGGATCATTGGGAACTTACACAGATTGAAATACTCTAAAAAAAGGGCCCCTTTGCTGAAATTTATCGGTAAGAAAATTTTTTTTAAAAACCTTTTTTTTCCAAATTTTCTTTAGGGGTGGTTTTAAGTGATAGTGTTTCCCTTTCATCAACATTTGCTCATCTTTTTGGGGGTTTAAACCACGGATTTTTAAAGGTTTTTATATGAAAAAATGTTTGAAAAATTTTAATTTTTTTTCCCTTTTTTTCAAAATTTATAAGAGTAGGGGGTATTTTTTTTCCTTTTAAATTGCATCATATTTCAAATTTTGCATAAAAGAATAACTACTTGTTTTTTTTTCTTTAACTTTATTTATTTTTTTGGATTTTATTTTATTTTTTATTTAGCAGAAAGAAAAAATTTGTATAATCATTATTTTTCTAAAAGGAGTTCTTTTTTCAATGGTCTCTGACTTCCCCGCCCTGCTTTGCAAAACATAATTTATAAAAGGGAAAAACAGTGTTTATGAAAATCAGGCATATTTTTTAACTAAAACAGATTACTTGACTTTAATCCCAACCCAACAGCTTATGTTTAATAAGATGATTTTACTGCCTGTTTTCAGTCGAATGTTTGGGATATAATATGCTACAGTGGAGAATGGGGAAACTGCCACATGCATATATTGATTGTCACATGCTGATGATATATCTACTATATATGGTCTAGCTGCATAGTAAGTTGACAAAGAATGTTAAAATATGTTGCACTTCTCTTCTCTCTTTTTTGATAGATATTTACAGTAATTTTTTGTATGTGCACTTTTTTTTGGGATCTAAAATCTTGAATAATTTAAAGGGACTTCACTGAGATTTTTTTGACATGATGGGATGGATAGTCTCTTGAAGAATTTGTGTACCATTTGATGTAGGTCTGAGCCAATAACTTAGTTGCAAATTTTCCAGAATATTCCCTCACTCCGTTTTTTTTTTTTTTCAGAATAATAATTTGTATTGTTCAAAATGACTAAAAGCGTTGCAACACTTTTCAATCAAATAGGGCTAATAACTGCACTAACTAGATTTTTCAATATATTTTGTATTATCCTTTGCAGAGTTTATCCATTTTAAGTGCTTCACTTCATGTATCAAAAATCAAATTTTTATCTATTGAGGCTTTTGACCCCAGTAAAGCTCCCTTAAGGACAATGTTTATAATTATGCACAAATCATGAATTTCATTTTCATTTGTTATAAAAGTATTCGATAAATATATTCAGGTGAAGACTTATACAAGGAGCTTTTGGAAACCTGGTTTCCAGAGAAAGGCAAACCCCCCTCAGCATACGTACTGGACAAGTCTGAGGAAGCCCTGCTGCTCCCAGATTGCTTAAAGTTTAGAATGATTCGGTCTAATGTTGAACCCCTTATAGATGCAGGTAAAGTATGATTTTATATAGTTATATTGTGTTATATACATGATATGTCTATATTGATTATCCGTACAAATTTATACAATGGACAAGACCTGATTTATTTTGGGATGCAGTTATTTTGTACTGAAAATCAAGTGAAAAATAACCAAATTTTTAATTTAGTAAGAGGGCCTTTTCTACATAGTCATTATGTTTGTCATAGTAATTTATCATCTTTATAGAATTATTGATGTTTACAGCTTGAAATAGTATTGTTCATAGTATTGTTTTGTTCTTGGCAATGAGAATCTTATATTTAGAAAGACCTTAACTCTGAGTTTTTTGTGGGGTCCGAAATCTCAGTGCCTGAAAGGGCAGATGGACCCTCATTAAGCCTAGAAAACATACGTACATATGAATTTGTTTTGTTTTTTCAGCTCTCCAAGATTTGCAGCCTAGTCAGTTACTGTTGTTTGTACAAACATTTGGTATTCCTGTACACAGTATGAGTAAACTGTTACTATGTCTTGACCATGCGGCTACTGTAGACAGTGTCAGCTTGGAACAGTCCGTACAAGTGCTAGACAAGACCTACATGGCACAGCTGGTAGAAGTGCAGCATAAACGAGGAGCTACAGGTGGTGACAAGTTCTACAGTATGCTGACTGATGGGAAAAAACTGGAAATTAATGATGGTAATAAATGTAGTTATACATTTTTACTCGCTCTTAATGACACCACTCGATTTGAACAACATTTTGTAGCATACTGACATATTTGTGCGGTCTTTTAACTTTAAAAAGTTTATAATTGAGCCGCGTCACGACAAAACCAACATAGTGGGTTTGCAACAAGCATGGATCAAGACCAGCCTGCGCATCCATGCAGTCTGATCAGGATCCATGCTGTTCGCTTACCAACTCTATTACAAGTGGAGAAACTGATAGCGAACAGCATGGATCCTGATCAGACTACGCGGATGCACAGGCTGGTCTGGATCCATGCTGGTCGCAAACCCATTATGTTGGTTTTGTTGTGAAGCGGCTCATATGATTATATTCACAAAAAAAATGTTGCAATATTCATCCAAGACCAACATAACCAACTAGCCCCAACTAGTGTAAGTATTGATAAGTGATGCAGAATACATGTTTATAGTTTACAACAGTTAGATATTTATTAGCAAATATAAACATTTCGGTTTTTGTTTAGTATTGGGGAAGTAATACAACACATTATCATTATTATTATTATTATTATTTATATAATAATTATTATTGTAGATGATGAACAAATGAAGACACAGTCAGCAGACGACAGTATGTGGAAAAGTCAAGGTCATACTGATGTTGTCATGGAAACCATTCCAGCCTCTCATGTTGTCAACATGCTTCTGCAGGTAAATGTTCCTCCAAAATATGTTTGTGGTGATTTGTTTTAATAAGATTGGAGAAAATACCTCAAATTTCCTTATAAGATTCAGAAAATTCAGCTCACTTTGTCATTGTCAGAAAATTCAGCTCACTTCGTCATTCTCAGAAAATTCAGCTCACTTCGTCATTCTCAGAAAGTTTAGCTCACTTCGTTATTCTCAGAAAAATTCAGCTCACTTCGTTATTCTCAGAAAATTCAGCTCACTTCGTCATTCTCAGAACATTCAGCTCACTTCATCATTCTCAGGAAATTCAGCTCACTTCGTCATTCTCAGAAAATTTAGCTCACTTTGTCATTTTCAGGAAATTCAGCTCACTTCGTCATTCTCAGAAAATTTAGCTCACTTTGTCATTTTCAGAAAATTCAGCTCACTTTGTCATTTTCAGGCCTTCATGTATCAATGGATGCTGTACCATAACTGATTGTTTTTAGTTTGTTGTTTGCTTTCCTCCTTTTTTGACAGCACTTTCTCTGGAACCACTTGAAAAGTTGAAGCTTAACATTGATGTAAATTTGTCTTCTCTTTGTTGTATGAACTTTCATAGTAAAATAGAGTTTCTGATCACAGTTTCACCAGTAATATTTCACTCGTTCAATGCCAAAATATGAACTGTGTGATTGGTGATGCTGAAATGTATTAAATGTATTTGCCAAAATTATTACTACATAGGAATCTGGTTATTTCATGCACTGTGTAGTGATATTTTAATCCAACTTGGACATAAATTGATTTCTTAATGTCATTAGTTTCAGTCAAAATGTGAAATAAAGTGATACAATTAAGCAAGAAATACTTATATTTATTTATTTTTTCAGGCATTTGATCCATCTGGCAGAAGAAGTCCTGACACAGAAACTCATTTTAGATCTCTTATAATGGTAAAGTTTGTTATTTTTGAAGAATTTTGGACCAAAACCAAACAATTAAAAAAGATATTTGTCAGTTTACTATGAATAATCCCTGTTATACCGTTAAAGCTTAAAAAGAGAATGGGAAACTTTTTGTCTGTTTCAAAGGAAAAATTAAGCTTTTATGATTGCTGCAGAGGTGTCATTGTCAACTTGCAAGAACTTTAATGTAGCCTTTTAAAAGTATATGCAAACATTTTAAAAGTAATAAACATAGAACATGGCAGGTGCAGTTTTTAGACAAGAGGCGTAATTCTGAAAGCAATTTTTTTAGTTATGACCCTTTTTAACTTAGATTTCTTTTTTAACAGATGGCTTTTAAGGGATACTCAGGCAAATTGATGACAAAAATATAGATAATATAAAACCACGTACTCAAATCACGCTAAAATGATATTTTGTAAAGTCCCAGCATGAATTTCTGTATAAATTCTATATATTTTGGTTTGAAGCATAAATGTATCTATATATATTGAACAAATTTTGATGCAGACATACTGCATATGGTGCTCTTGTTTATTATCATGAAAACTTATTTGAATACATGTGTCTTATATTTGCCAGCCCACTTAAGTTATTACAGTTTAGTCATTTGGAATGATTATTTGCTAGAAATATACAAGTACTTATGTCATTTGGTGAAACATAATCTACTGATCATGTAAAAACATCTTTTTCTTTCTCTCAATTTTTATAGAAACTGAGATTTGATACAATGTAGAATTATATGTTTTTCAGTCTGTGAACAAAAGGTCGTCTGGAGCTCTTGATGTTATAAAAGGCTTTAACGAGGTTGGTAAATCTGTCAAATTGTAGCACATAAATTAATTACATTTGTGTAATTTCAATTTAAAAGTATTGATCAACTTTTTCAAAATTATGATTGGTTAAAATGTACACATTTAAGGAAAAATGAATAGGAAATTCCGTCTTGAGTTAGAGTTAAATTCTTTTGATATATTTTGATATTTAGTTGCTGATATAGATATGTTGTTTTATTTTGTTTATACAGATCCTACTAGGGTCAACAAGTGCAGATTTTGCAAAGTCAGTTATACACTCAACCAAGGCTTGCTCTTTGCTGAGAATCATCATGGCAAAACAGGTTTGTTGAATTAATTGACTCTTTATCATGTTGCATTTGTTATGGAGATATGGAGATGCCATGCTTTGAATTTGGAACTTTTTGTAGTTTATTGATCAAAAAGGCCTTTCTTAAAATCTTAGTACATTTTTTTAAAGTTTGATTTTCTTGAAATATTTTGGCTCATCTGGAAGAATGCAGCTTTAAGATAAAGGCAATGATAAGTTGTAATATCATGAGTCAGCTTAGTATCTGGTAAACCAAATATTGTAAAGTTGTAGAAAGTGACAGAATATGTGATTTCTTATAAATAAGTAATAATTATTGTTGCCATAACAACTACACCTTTTCATACAGAATGAAGCTGGTGTAAAGAACTGCCTGCATCAAACAATGGAGAGACTGAGTCAGTATTGTATAGGTCAAAGTTCACCAATGGCCGCCATGGTTCATCAGTACATGCTGTCACAGGCCAATAAAAAATCTCACAGATCTCAACTTAGGACGGAAAACCAGGAGATATTCTTCGAAGGTAATAAGATTATATGAAAAAAAAAATTGTTTAAATTATTTTAAAGAATAAGACATGGTATTAATTATTCACCACTTGCACCTCACCGCTGTGGGTTCAAAGCCCAAAATGGAGTTTAGGTCATTTCATGTGAGGAGGCTATCCAGCTAGTTTATATCAGTGGTATTACTCAGGCGCCCCTTTCTGCCTGAAATAATGCAAGGAAGGGCACCTGAGGTCTTCTTCCACCAGTAAAGCTGGAAATTCGCAATATGACCTATACTGTGTTGTTGCGACTTAAATCCAGCCCGTAAAAAAGTATCAATTATACATGAAATGTGTATATCTTTATATTCTCCTTGCCGGAAACTTTTATGGTAAACAAGGGAAAAAATGTGTATACATATGTTCTACTGAAGCAAATGTTCTTATTTTTTCTTGTTTTACAGACTTGAAGAAGGTAGCTGAATCAGCTGGCAGTAAGCTGGAATCATTGGTTAGAGATAGTATGAGAACGGCAATGAAAGCTGACTGTACCAGCTCCGCAACTCAGCTGGCCTGTAGTGTACTCCTGAAAAACCAGACACAGTCTGATAGGTAATAGTTTAACTTCCTGTCTGATGATTTATTTGGCAAGTACATGTATGTAATAGAAAAGAGATTTGATTTGGGGCGTCCAGGGCTGAGTGGTTAAGGTCTTTGACTTCAAACCACTTGCCCCTTTCAGGAACTTTGGATTCTTTCATGTGAGGAAGCTATCCAACTAGCTTGCGTTACAATGGTTGTTTTACTTGTCTGTTTGTGCCTGAAATAAGACAGGGAAGGGCATGTGAGGTCTTCCTCCACCAGTAAAGCTAGAAAGTCACCATATGACCTATATTGTGTTGGTGCCGAATAAAACCCATTCAAAAAGAATCCAGAGTATTAAGTGTGACATTGACATTGATAGCCGAGGCAACTCATTATTGTTGCTGTTACTGAAAAAGCTAAAATAGGTACCTCTTTAAATGATAATTGATTGATGGATTTAAAATAAAAAAACACTTTATAATCTAAAACTTATTTCAAGATTACTTTGTGTAAAGCAAATTGAAAAATTATCTTTTCTTTTTTTATAATTCACTAACTTACAACATTGTTTTACAAATAAGCATGTTATGATTAATTCTTTTCCAGTGACACCATGTTACCATCTACATGTGCTTTGTTTGTTGACTGGTTAGAATTACTTGACCCTGAGATCATTAGAATGGTTCCAGAATTACAAAGAAAAAAGCTTGCTGTTTGCTAAGAAATGGTGTGAAACAGTCTAGTAAAGGGAGAAGAACACAGTAGTCAGCCATATTTACTGCCTTGTCCAAATGGTCATCAGTCAAGTTGGAAGCTCATTAAATAGATGTAATAAGCTCCCTTGTTGTCAAGCTGTGATTAAAAAGGGATAGGTTAACAATAGCCATCTTGTAGTTGATTTTTTTTTAGACTTTTTTTAGAGAAATGTCCTTCATGTTTATCTTTATTTCATGTTTATCTTTATGCAGAAAGACAGCTCAATACACCCATAAACAGAGCCTTTATAAACTACATTAATAACCAAGGAATATCAAATGAAAACCAAGAGTGATCTGTCCTAAATTGCAAATAAAATCGACCATGCTTGTGCTAAAATAATACAAATAACGCCTTTACTTTTTTTTTTCATTTCATTTTATTGGCAAATCGGCAAATAAACATTACCTTTGGCCATTCACAGAGTATCATGACAAATATGGCCAAAAGTTAAATAGTTACAAACATTACATCATACAATATATAACAAAAAGAGTACAAGAATGAAACTAATTAAGAAGCAGTTACATCTTCAAGAGACTGTTGCCTCAACTTAAATGCATTATGAACATAGTGAGCACATTTAAGAATATGCTTTTTGTTATTTGTTGACAATATAGTCGAAATTTTTGTATAGTAGGCCATGAAATGTTTTCCTAAATATTTGGTTCTTATAACAGTATAAATTGGACAACATAAAAGGAAGTGGTATTCTGATTCAATAGAGTTATATATACATAGTTTACATTTGCGATCGTTTCTATCAATGTTAAAAAATCTTCCAGTTTCTATTTCTAAGTTATGCGAGCCTAGTCTGAAACAAGCAAAGTCTTTTCTTAACACATATTTGTTAAAACATCAAAAGATATTTTTCATAACAAAAAGAAGTTTTAAATTTTCTGTAGTAATCAAGCTTGGGCATATTTTGTATAGAAGTATTCCAGTTCTGTAAATATTGGTCTCGCAGACGCTGCTTTAACATTGGCATATAATTAAAATTTAAGTTAAAGTTAAGCCAAATATCACTACAACCTAAGCTGTCTAACAAGCGTTTTATACTGCTTGCCCAATTACAATCAACATTTCGATTACACTGGTCTACAAACATGTTGTACATTGGTGAGTCCTGGTTTTTCATAATTTTTAACCAGAATTTAAGAGTTCTTTCTAGTTTATAGCGAATATTTGTTTTTAACCAATGAAAAGCTTATGAGCTTTGTATTAATATAAACATATCTTTTGATAACCAAAGGTACTTAAATGTTTAGCTTACCACCTGTTTATACAAAAAGATATACAGCTAGTTATCTTAACTTGAAACAAAACTGATAAGAAAAGCCAGTCAGTTGCTAGTTCGGACACTGGTTATTGAGGTATTTTTGAAATTTTTAAAATGTTTTTCTTAGTACTTTGTTTTCTTTATATTTAATCATTTATTAATCAATGAATTATATTATTGGTTTTTACAGATATGATCCTGTGTCAGTGTTAGATTTTCTGTGGGCGTGTATACATGTACCTAAGATCTGGCAGGGCAGGGAGAGAAAACTACATAAGGTGTGTTTAGATATACAATATTTTGTCCAAAAAAAAAAAAATCAAAAGCAGGATTGAAAATATGACAATTACTATAATTTCAGTGAAATTAATGAAAACTGTTTTCTTTTAAAAAGTTCTTTCTAATCTATGTCAAGACAAGCAGTAGAAATATGGTGATTGATACTATATCTTTCATTGCACACAACATGTTAAATTTTATCTAAAACTTTTTGCTTTTCTTAAAGACTTAGTACATTTTTCTCAAGTTTGATTTTCTTGAAATATTTTGGCTCATCTTGAGGCATGGAACTTTTAACTGTCCCAAATTCGAGCAGTGCGAATCCAGTGCATGAATTCCTGCAGGTTAATAGTTAGTAAAGGTTGTATATTTTACAGAACCAGAGCTCAGAGGATGTGTTATGTTTGACTGGGTCTCAGTTAGTTGTTCTTGTAAGCTACATCATCCAAGAAGCAACCAGTCATTCATGTGACTCTAAATCAACCAATCAGATCCCTGCTACTATCAGGAACAGGGTAGAATTATTGAAGGTACAACAAACTTCTCTGTATAGTTGGAAAATACATCTTAAGTTTACTGATTCGATTTACAATTTTCATTTGTGTTAACCTTGATAGTGTTATATAATGCTATCCAATGTCTTAAATCATATTAATTTACATTTATTTAGAATTTAGTTACATGATTTATAAAGATAAAAGTTTTCTAATTTCATTCTTGAAATACATGTTTATAGTAACATATAAGTAGTCATTTGCAAATTCTTAAAATTCTCTTTATTCTTGAAATAAGGCATTTTTCTTGTGGTGGCATGGCCAAATGGATAACAAGTCAGACTAGTAATCTAAGAAATGCTGGTAGTGTGGGTTCAAATCCTGTTAGAGGCAAGCTGTTTTTCCTTGAGCAAGAAACTTCACACACTGGTTGGTTCCAGGAATAGATTTGAGAGTGTTTCAGTATATAAGCTTATAGCTTCCAATACAATCAAACTAAAATAAATAAGTATTAGCTAAATATGGCATTTGTGCCACTAAGAAAAAGGTATTGTGTCTTGGAGAATTTTTAAAAGAACAAAATTTTGTTATAGAGCCTTAGTTTGGTGAAAAGAACAGGAAATTTATGTTCAAAATTTGATGTTTATTTATTTTTTTATTCTTTTGAAGGCATGTGTGTGTGATGACCAGGATAAAGTGAAACATTTGGTTGTCCATATAGAGAAAATGCTCAAACTAAAAAGGTAAGAAATTATAATCCAGTAGATTTGTTTATCAGAGTTGAAACCAGACAAGTGCATTATTCATGTTGTAGTGGTGTGAGGGTTTACCTGTTATTATTTTGCAGCCTTATCCTTATTGGGATGTTTTCTCTATTGTTTATCTGTCGGTCTGTCCATGGGTCACAAAACTTGTCTGGAGTACTCTTCAAAAACATCTAGTTCAATTTCATCCAAACTCTACAGGAATAATTGGTACTAAGCATACATGTACATGTGCATATCATCAGCATTTTCCTGTTCAATGTTTTTTGTGAGAATTTTTGTTTTTAAAGTTTATCTTTTCTTATCCTACAAATGTATATTGAATAAAACTTTAAAAGGATTGATTGATACCTCAAGTACTTGTCCATATTTAACAGGCTTTCTGGTTAAATGATATTTGGCTGAGTTATGGCCCTTTGATAAAAAAAGGAGTTTTTAATGACCTGCTACACTGTTGCTGTAACATGCTACAACGTAGCTGTGACATATAGGGAACAAACTGTCCAATCACTCTTCAATACAACTGCTTAATTGGCTATCATTAGGCGACACTTGTAATTATTAATTACTCTTGTATAATGAGTTGTTTGACTTCCTTTTCAGTGGAGAAGTTCATCTTTACGAGGCATTTCTGCTAGAGTTATACCTACAGTATCCATACTTGTCTGCCTGGTTGACTGATTCTAAATGTGTAACTTCCGAGGCATTAGCCTCTCACAACTCACAGACTCAGGTATGATTTTAAAATATAATGATTCAAAAGATAGTGATGTTAGTTAGAATGGCTAATTTTAGTATTAAAATATTTATGTTGTGACTTACAAACTCAAGGAATTTTGTAATTGTTACGGCATCAGTAAATGTTTACCTTTTTATAATGAAAAGAAATGTAACTGACAACAACATTTGTTTTTGTTCGATGTTATGTCCTGTATATTGGGGCATCCGTGGCCGAGTGGTTAAGGTCATTGACTTCAAACCACTTGCCCCTCACCGCTGTGGGTTTGAATCCCAACAGGGACTTTGGATTCTTTCATGTGAGGAAGCTATCCAGCTAGCTTACGGAACGTCGGTGTGGTTTTACTCAGGTGCCGGTTTGTACCTGAAATAATGCTGGAACGTCGCGATATGACCTCTACTGTGTTGATGTGACGTAAAACCCAAAACAAACAAACAAAAAAAATGTCCTGTATATTATAATGAAATCAGATACTGTATTCTTCCTTTTTTGATGTTTGAAAATATTCTATAAATGTATGTTCCTTAAGTAGAAAAGGAATTTTATTTTTCAGTTGGAACATGACTCATTATTTAATCTTGTACAAATATATATTCATTATTATTTGATGTTTACTAGTAGTAACTCACTTGTGGAGTAAGTGGTATTAACTTTCTTGACCGCCATGATATGACTGAAAAGTTTTGAAATAAATTCGAACCCTTGGGGAAAAAACAACCAACAAATACTGTCAGCTGTTTGGTTATAAAATTTAACAATAGGTAGTCCTAACTTAAAGCAAGTCAGATCTATGCAAACTGAATGGTATATATAGGTATAAAGATTAAAATGTTTTTATTTTCCAGATGGATCTAATAAGTCATAGACTGATAACAGGTTTATATCAGGGTAATAGAAGTAAGAGAAATGATGATAGAATGTGTGATGTAAATATAGCTTGTCGTAAACTAGCTGCTGAACATCCAGTACTTGTGCTGAGGTAAACTGTTTAATTCTTTTACACTTTTTTTTGTCAATGTTCTCATCTAAGGTGGTTTCTGACTGTGCTTAAAGTTGCAAAACCTTCAAATGAGCCAATATATTTCAAGAGAATCAAACTTGAGAAAAATGTACTAAAATTTTAAGAAGGAAAAAAAAGATTCAAGTAATAATTAACAGTACATATTAAATGGAAATAATGAGTGATTTGCAGTATTTATCACCATATGTTTACTGCATGACTAGCACAGTAAGGGCTATATCTGCATATTGTGACATCTTTTTGGTATTATATGTGAATTGTTTATGCCATTTGTGCAATTTGTAAACTACTTTCTTTGTTCACTTCACAATATTTTTCATGCTGCTTAAGGGTTGCTGACTCCAAATTTTTATCCTTGCACCATCTATAGTTTGAATGATGCTCATGATAATGTTTCATGTAAAGAATAAAATAAGCTGGCTTATTGTAGATTGGTGGTTTTGCTTATGCCCCAGAAGTAATGTATTGAGAGGTACCTTAGTTCTTACTCAAAAATATGATTATAAGTAAGGATAAGACTACAATACCACAGGTTGTGCCATTTTTAAACCATTCCCTCACATACTTGTACCTGAAATAATGCACAAATTGGAACTTGAGGTCATCCTCAACAAGTGAAGCAGGAAAAACCACCATTTGGTCTGTACACAATTGGTTGGATTTTAAAACCCAACAGAGGAAAAAGAACTTAAGAGGATGGCTAAATTTATATTACTGTGGATCCTTTTATTTGAAATAAATGCTTGCATTAAATTATTATAGAAATTGTTATAATATAATGATGATATGATTTTGTTTTCAGGCAGTTACCAGCTATAGTTGCCTTATTAAAAGGGAAGACACAGTTTACATTTTATGAATTCAAGCAGAGAAATCTACATACGTTATATATTCACATACTAGGAATCCTTGAGCTGTTACAGCCCAGTATATTCTATAAGGAACATTCTACATTAAACAGTATATTAGAGGAATACTTCAGTCTACTTACGGTGAGTTACATGTAATTCGGCTGTGGCCGGGGTTGAGTGGTAAAAGTCATTGTAATGACTTCAAACCACTTGCCCCTCACCGCTGTGGGTTCGAATCCCTATAGTGACTTTGGATTCTTTCATTTGAGGAACCTGTTCAGCTAGCTTATGGAACATCGATGGTTCTACTCAGGTGCCTGTTTGTGCCTGAAATAATGTACCAAAAGGCACGTGAGGTCTTCCTCCACCAGTAAAACTAGAAAATCGCCATATGACCTATACCATGTTGATGCGACATAAAACCCAACCATGTGCAGTGTTAATTTACATTAATATACTCCTGCATTGTGCATAGATTTTTTTTTTTGCATTGACCACTAAAATGAATTATTAATTTAGATAATGTTGAAAGTAAACACAAATTCTATACATAAGGAAGTGTCATTACTCATTGACTTATATTTCAACCCTTAACTATCATTTAATCTGGACAATACCATTCATCAGTTTTAGGGAAAATTTACTGACTGCATAGCAAACAGTGCAGACCATGATCAGATGGCACAAATGTTTATTAAATTAATATGTTATGGAACTGTCAAAAAAACTGAACTTTCTATAAAATGTTGGTAGGTATCTACTTACTCAGGTGGATTTTTTCCTTGGACACATCACATATACTAATTTATTTTGTAGGCATACAGTATTAATGCGAACAAGTTGATGGCTCCACTGATTGTAAAGCTGGTGAAAATGTTGAATGATTATGTAAATCATGATAGTCAGAGGGCAAGTAGGCTGTTACAAAAACATGTCCTTCTACTTACGTGAGTCTTTGTTTATTATATTCATATGAAAAGCCATAATAATATACTTGTTAATGTTTTGCTGTATTATATTTATCAACAAAATTCTAAATTGTATGAACAAAGTTGTTTTTTTGGTTTTTTACTTTGACAATGGATCTGGGACATTGAACCTAATGGTCAATTTTCTCTAACCACTGTTTCAAAAACTATATGGGATAAATTATCAGTTATTTGCAAAGAAATTAGTAAAATAGTAAGCATGCTTAGTTATCAAGGAAGCTACTAAGATATGACCTGGCCTAATAAAATCAGCTTATGTAAAGTTTACATTCCATAGTTTCAACTTTATTTTATGTAGGCAATTTAAAAGTTGCTAATCGTTTATGGAAATATTGTTTTATGCATTAGAGGTGAAGTAAATGAATATTTGAATGATTTTAAAATGATTATGAAAATCTTTATTCTTTATATATGTGTAGAATTGATTTAACATGAATTATATTGCATGTTCTCAGTTAAAATGCTTGTGATAAATAATGAGTTTATTTTTTGTTACGTATACATTTAACATATTAAAAGGGGGAGATTATCTTTTTTTGCAGGAATGTTTCTTCACAGTTCCCTGAATTATCTCCCTTGAAGTCACTGCTTGCAGGGCTAACACTGCCACGACACAGTCAAGAGGAGATAGAGGGTCAGCCTGTGGAGGCCGGGTCAGTTGTCTACCCTGCCAGATCGTCCTCACCCTGGGCAGCTTCTCATCTCACCCCCTTCATGCAGAAAATAAAAAAAGATAACTCTGATGGTAGGTTTTCGTTGTTAAAGTCATTTGAAAAAACATTTCTATCATCATCATTGTTTTTTATGCCCTAACTTAGTCTGTCCATCCCCCTGTTATGCATTCAAGTTGTCTGTTGGTAGACTACAAACCAGTGAAATGTTGGAGTACCTTGCCCCATGGGCACATTTCTAGTTTATTCTAATGTTGATTGTCTCTGGCTTCCAAAAGCAAGTTGGTTTAACCTAGGTTTATGTACATGTTTAAGTAATTAACAAATCAAGTATAAATTGGTTTACTGCTGTTTTCTTTGGGACCAGACCTTTGCACACAAAAAAACAGTTCTATAACAAGTGGCTTGATAAAATTATGATTTTACTATGGATAATTGTTTTATTTATTTATAGAAGTTTTAATGGTGCTACAAGATCTAGATGAAACATCGAAGAGAAAAGGAGAAATTCTAGAGCATTTTGTGGTATGAATTACAATCTAATATACTGACCATTTATATTGTTATAAGAAAACTATAAACCATTATACAGGTTGTTGACTTCGAACCACTTGGGTTTGAATCCCGATAGAGCCTTTGGATTCTTTTATGTTAGGAAGCTATCCAGCTAGCTTATGGAATGTCGGTGGTTCTACTCAGGTGTCTGTTCGTGCCTGTAATAATATATGGAAGGGCACTTGATGTTCTCCTACTCCCGTAAAGCTAGAAAGTTGCCATATGACTTATACTGTGTTGATTATTTTGGTTATGATAAAAATCCCAATGATCTGTTAATATAATTCAGGGTGAAATTTAAATCAAATTACATTGTATTTTAATTTAAGCATGCATTTTGTTTCTGGGGTATGATTCTGTGCTGGAAGATAAATTGGATGATAGAATACAGTGTCTTTAAGGGCTGAATTCAAATCATTTTCTACATATTATGGGTTATGGGAAGGGGTAATGTAAATAAAATCATATACAATGGTATATGTCAGATGACATCATAAATATGAGACAACATATATCCAATAGCTTACTACAATTAATATCCACGTATATAACTTTAGGCCTACCCTGCAGGAACTGCAAGTGATAAACCTTTACCACGAGTACAGAGCCAGGCCAGCTTGAATATCAGTTCAATCTAACCAGGCTTTATACTATAGGCTGATTAACTTTAATTCTTATATTCTAGCTGTCCCCAAAATTGATAATTGACAGTTCTAAAAATAGAAACTAGACTGTTCCATTTAAGAAATTCAACAGGTCAATGATAAAAGATGTATCAAATTATGTAAAATTTATGTTTTAATTCCATACACTATAGGATGATTTAAAGAGATTGATGTTATTCCCTAATGACCAGTGTAGGAACACAGCCTTTGAACTTGCTAAGAGACATATCAAACAAAATCCAAAGTAAGTCTTTGTATTCCTTGTAATATTTTGTGTTGCCATTTCTTTTCATATTACTTTGTTATTTTATGAAATTTTGTTGATTTTATGCCAGCCATCTGAGTTATGTGTGTAACTGAGTTATATCTGTTTATTTACTGTAGACAAGCTGTAGAGTTTGTACCAGCATTTCTTCATTGTTTAGAAAGTGAGGATCCAGATATAATCACCTCCGCTCTCACAAATCTGGCGGAATTTACACTACTGTGTCAAGGTATGTATTGTTAGTCTCTGTTTATATGACGTAATAAACTGTTTGAACACTTGTTGAGGCAAGAAACTGACCTGTGTCACTAGTATAGAGACAAGCCAGCCTTGGCCTTTACATTGGTAGTGGTGGTAATAATAGACTGATGTTACTAGTGTAGAGTTAGGCCAGCCTTGGCTTTCGCATTGGTAAAAGTTGGCAGTAACAGACTAATGTCACTTGTGTATAGTAAGGCCAGCCTTTTGATGTTCACATTGGTAGAGGTGGTAATAACAGACATATGTCCTGTTTGCTATTCAATTTTAGTATTTTTATGCTGCAATCCCTCTATCTTCTAATGGACTGTTGTAAAGTCAAATCAATGCATGTCTATTGTAAAAGTGTAGTCAACTAGACTAATATCATTCTTTTTACAGATTGCAGAGTGCATAAACAGAATTGCTGTATCATTTATTGCGAGTCTAACGATTCAGTGTATATGCTTTATTGCTTGCACAAGCATATTTTATATCCAGTGATTGTATGATTTACTGGAGGCTTACTTAATTCAGCTTGTATTACCACTTGCCTCTGACTGTTGTGTGTTTGAATCTTGCCAGAGAGTTTGGATTCTTTTATATGTGGAAGCTATCCAGTTACCTTATGGAAAGTTGGTGGTTCTACCTGATATTTTTCACAGAGGGACACCTAATATCTTCCTCCATCATCAAAAGCTGGAAAGTTGCTAATTGATGAAAACCTTCTAAAAAAAGTTACGCGGGAACAGACCTAATTTTTTTGCTTCACACCCCGTAAGTATCTTTTAGTGATAGTTTATGTTTGTTTATGAAGTAAACACATGTATTTTGTTTGTTTACAGATTATGCTGATGTGATCCTACAGAGGGCGCTATCTGCAGGTATTAACACCTCTATTGAAACAAGTTCCTACATCAGCGAAAGTTTACAGCTACTTAACCTTGACCTTGCCTCTACATGACCTTCTGATGACCTTAGAAATTTACATTGACACTTGTTAAGGATGATATGGATACAGATGGTTAACCAACCTTCAAGATATCAAGATACTGATAGAAAAGTCAATTTTACTTTCATTTTGTAGAGATAAATGTTTAATTGGCTGTTTTGAACTGGAAAACTTTTGTGGATGATAGATCCATTACTTGAATAGCAAACCTACTTGTTTTGATATGACAATAAAATATCATTAGCCATGTTTTTTATTTTTTTCTCAAGCTTTTGATCTGAAATGATAAACACTGACTAATATTGTCGTTGATTATCAGTAAAAAGCTGACAACGAATGAGGGAGGTATGGCCATTGTCACGAGTGACGGTGCATAAATCAGTTCCGAGCTTACCAGAATGGAACACAACTGCATGAGCATCCGAGGATTAGGAAAACGGATAAATCATGTATTATAGGGACATGTACATGTAGGCGTATTAGGTCTGTAGCAAAAATTAATATGTAGCATCGTTCATGGATCCTGTGCCATTAAAACCTCTCGGGTTATTTATGGCCAGGCATATTTGGAGAATCTTTTAAAAGTTTCGTCGGAGGCCATAAGGCGTACTATGGTGGTCCCCTCAACATACTGCCATGGGGTAAAAATTTGCCTGACCTTAGGAGCCAGTCTATTGTATACATATTGTATAATTATCAAAAGCTCAACTCCTTACATAAAAAATGATTTAATGTTGCATCATGTATGGAGACCGAATACATTTTTGTACATGTATATAAAATCACGGCTTTAATGAAGTTAAAGCCATGATAAACTTCAACCTTGATTGAATCATTAATACGGCTATGTTTTGCTGATCTACTGACGCATTTTAAGCTATGACCACAAATAGGCATCAGAGGGCTTATCAGTTTTATATAAAGTTAAATAGGGAAATCTTAAAAAACCTCGTGTCGAAATCCACAAGGTGTAGAACCTTGATATTTGGTATGTAACATGATCTAGTTGTCCTCTACAAAGATTGTTCAAAATTACCCTAGGGTGAAAAAGGGCCGCCAGGAGAGTTATCAATTTTAGCTCACCTGTTACAGAGTGACAAGGTGAGCTTTTGTGACACCCTGTTGTCTGTCATCGGGCGTCTATTTCGTCGGTTTTACTGTTTCAATGCATAAAGTTATATTGTAAGTTGCCTGTATTTTGTTTCCAATGACAACCAAACAATGGTGATAATTAAAAACCTGGTTTCGTGGCGTTGCCATGTTTGTTATTTATCATTTTAGCTCCATGCTCTTTTCTTTTTAACAGATATATCTTTCAGATGTCGTTGTCACTCGGACTGTATTCAATTAACAGTGTAATTTCAAGTCATCGTATAAATAAAATTTTCATTTACTTGTAATCTTTCTCATACAGTTTTACAAATTGGCCACAAAATATTGTGACATGCATTTTTGTTATGTTATTGACGCTTTTAACCCGATTTCAAAAGATATTTGTCAACATACATGGTATATATCTCAACAAGACTAAGTGCAGATTTGAAACTACCGTAAGTCATATATGTTCAGAAACTAAGTCACCCGATCAGATCTTTAGGAAACCTCTGTAAAACTGAGGTCATCGTTTACCCAGTTCAATAAGAATGTTTGTCTTCACAAACTCTAAATACAGGCATACTCCCATGCCTCAGGTGAGCGACCTAGCAGGGCAAAAGGGCTCTCTTGTCTGACTTAGTTTCTAATTGTTTGGTGGTTTCGATATTTTTTTGGTATGTGTAAAATACGTACTAATATTTGTACCTGTGCCAAAAAGACACGTCCATGTACAATTGCATTACATTGTGTAACAAAATAGCTTTTTTAGTATTTCAAACAATACGACATTATAAAATACTTTGTTAAGTATTCTGGTTTCCATATTTCAAGTTTGTTAATGTATAGCTCTAAATATATTTCAGTCTTAAAATCAATAATATGTATATAGTCTAATAAAAAACGTTTTCATGTCTTTTCTGGACTGATGCCAACTTGACTTTACAGCTCTCTTATTGTTCATGGACGGTAATAACTACAAGCGTGCAACAGGAAAAAAACGCAAAAAGTATTGGCACGGGTTTTCAGCTATTATTAAATAACATGCATGTCTTGTTTTATAATAAAGTACATGTATATCGCTTGCGGAACGGAGGAGGGTCGATAATTATAATCGTATGTGGTTTAATAATTTAAAACTGGGTATGAAATAATATGAGCTGTTTATGTAGTATAATTAGAAAGACCTATCAATCAAATTTATGTTCAAGGCATCACAAGAAACGACGTACAACCCTTATTATTATTATTATTATTATTATTATTATTATTGTGTATTTCAAGATATAATAAATAACAACCATCTGCTTAAGAAAAGTTTTATTTTAACTGAAAATAGCAGGTCAATTCACGTTTTAACTATCCATTAAACTTATTAAAATTGTTTCACACTAAAATTTATTTTAGTGAAGTGCATTTTGAACCTTTTTATCAATCTTTTTATAGTCTATTTTTTCACTCATTTATTATATTTTTTGAAATTTGTGACATGATTATAGTTACTGTATCTGGTTCAAGAATTGCTACAGAACTTGTTACCAGTTCAAGCCAACTCCGAATGAAGACTCAGACACGTGGTCGCCTTCTTTGTATGTAACATTTCGTTTCCTTGTTCGTTTATATTTAAGTCCTGGTCTCTCCGGATTTGGTAGGCAAACGTCTGCTTCTTCATCGCTGTCACTTTCCGCTTTTCCTTCTTTAGGTCTTACATCTCGACTTTCGTACCTCGCTCCAATTACAGCAGACTCACTGTCGTCTTTCGTGGCGATAGTTTTACACGATTTGCCCTCTGTCAGTGCTGGTTTTTGATCAGGGAAAAACCCAAATCCACAAGACCAGATGTTCCCTTTTTGAACATTTTCGCGTCCTGCGTTTCGTGCCAGACATCTTCTTTCATTTCTTACGTAATCAGATACTTCTTCTTTTTCTTCAAAATAGGAGTCGTCATGCTTCGATATGTAATGCGAGTTGTAATTGAAGCCGATATGTTTACTCATTTTACTGAAAAGGGACATATAATGTCAAATTAAATTTTGGAATTATCATAATTAATTAATGTACTTTATAGATTTAATCACATACCCGTGCCGCTTTTGCGACTCAATTGCATGGCCATGCATATATTTAGACGTGACGTCATGTGGGTAGTACAAACATAGCCTAAAGACGCGCTAAATACTATAGGCGCCTCAATAACAAAAGAGGATTATTAACACTGTAAACAGTTCTTATTAAAAAAAATATTAAGTTCGTGTAGATTCAATACATAATTTATTGAACTCGTTGAATAAAATAATACCCGTGCCGGTTTTGCGACTCCGTAAATATGGTATTGCACGGCCATGCATATATTTTGACGTTTATTTGTTTGTTTGTTTGTTTGTTTGTTTCATTTTACGCCTTTTCCCAACCGTATTTCAGTCATATAGGCGGGTAGTTTCCTAACCATCGTCCCTAGAGTTACACCAGTCCGTACTAGAGCTAAACTACCAATACAGACGCGCTTAATGTTAGCGTGACACTATAGGCGCATCAATGAAAAATTATTCTTTTGCACTTTAAACAGTCTTTATTTTGGGTATGTGATGAAAAGAATATTATATTCGTGTAGGTTCATTACTGAATTAATTGAACTCGTTAGATAATATAAGTACTTTGCTCGCCAGAGGCTCGTATAATATGACATTAATATTATACAACTCGTTCAATGGTCAGTATAATATCCTCTACATAGAATATTACAGTTTTTTTCCTTAGCAACTTTCTACACAAATAATAAAGCTTTGCTTTTTATTTAATAAAAAAAAACGAAATGTATAAGCATACTATAGAAACAAAATTTATACTCACGGTGTACGAGAGTATTTTTTCCACAAAAGTGCTAACTTAATTAACGCCGTCAAACTTTTAAAATATTACGTAAAAAATGGGATTCCAGGTACATGTACATTATAGGGTCGGGTGGTAACTTGTTTCGAGTGAAGAGCGCCACCGGAAATTACATATTATTGCGCACCAGGCAGTTCATTGACAAGGTATTAAATTTAATGCTCATTTAATTTTCTGTTTAAAATATAATTGAATAACTACATTATTTAGTTAACTGTCGCTGTGGAGAAGGAATAATTAGTATAATAATGATATAATTATATAAGATATTTTTGCTGTGAACAAACTAGAGCTTGAATGAAATGGAGACCCATATATATACTTTCAAACCATTATGGAAACTACTCTTTTATGTTTTACTATTAGCACGGTTCATGTTCCACCCTGTTAATTTGTGTCATAATCAGTAGTTAACACAAACACAAAACTTTGACTGATATGCCTGATTACGTCTTTATTGTCTAAGAATAAATTATGATAAAATCAAAAGATAAACCAAAAATTTCAAATACGCTTTCATATAGACAACAATTGTAGCAAACGTTGTGTGTGTGTGTGTGTGTGTGTGTGTGCGTGTGTGCGTGCGTGCGTGCTCGCGTGTGTGTGTGTGATTCAGTTGAAACTTCACACACTTATTTCAGAGCATATAATAAGGCCAATAACTCTAACATGGATTTCGACAGAATTATGGCCATTTTTGAACTTTCTAAAATTCTAGATTATCAAGGCTCTTCAATGTTTTACAATCTTGCACTGAAAATTTAGTCGAGCTGTCTTACTGGCAGTTCTTCTTAATATATACACGCATTTCTTTAGTCCGATTTCTCTGGATTTTTTTACTATTTATATTTATACGGTACAATGTAAAATGGTAATTTTGTTCTATTTAAATTCCTTACAAAGGACCTTGAAATTCTGTCAATAATAGCAGTAAAGTCCGATAAAAAATCCATGCCTATATACATGTTGTTTTTTTAACTAGGTATGGATTTTTTTACTGCTGTTATTGACAGAATTTCAAGGTCCTGTGGTGACACATGTATACATATGGATCATCTTATGTCATTTGTTGGGAAACCAACGCAATGTATAGTATTGACTTTCTAAGGTTCAAAATATTAGGCGGGAAACCAAATTTAATTTCTATTTTGAATGTACACTGAATTAGTAAATAATGGTGATTGTGCTTTAAATATGATTTTTTTTCTTCAGTTTTTTCTTTCTGTAATCTTAATATATTTTTATGCCCCCACCCCCCTTCGAAGAAGAGGGGGTATATTGTTTTGCTATAATGTCGGTCTGTCTGTCTGTCGGTCGGTCGGTCTTTCCGTCTGTAGACCACATGGTTTCCGCTGATTATCTTGATCAAAAACTCACATACTGATTGGTCATAACTAGCAGATAACCCCTTTTGATTTTGGGGCCACTAGGGCAAAGGTCAAGGTCACAGTGGCCTTAAATGTCAGAATGGTTTCCTCTGTTTATCTTGAAAATAATTATTCATCACAAAGTCTTCATATTTCACATACTGATTGGGCATAACTAGTAAATTATCCCTATTGATTTTTGGGTCAAAGGTCAAGGTCACAGTGACCTTAAATGTCAGAGTGGTTTCCGCTGATTATCTTGAAAACTATTCATCGCAAGGCCTTCATATTTCACATACTGATTGTTATTGATCATAACTAAAAGATGACTGCTATTGATTTTGGGGTCATTAGGCAAAAGGTCAACTTCACAGTGGCCTTATATGTCAGAATGGTTTCCGCTGATTATCCTGAAAACAATTAATCACAAAGTCTTCATATTTCACATACTGATTGGTCATAACTAGTAGATGACCCCTGATACTTTTGGGATTACTAGGTCAAAGGTCAAGGCCACAGGGGCCTTAAATGTCAGAATGGTTTCGGCTCATTATCTTAAAAACTATTTATCACAAAGTCTTCATATTTCATATATTGATTGGCCATAACTAGTAGATGACCCCTATTGATTTTGGGGTCAAGGTCACAGGGGCCTTGAATGTCAGAATGGTTACATTTATAGGATAACATATATATTATTCCAGCTACCCTCCAACTTGTATAACTTATTAATGATAGCTTACATATACATGTATATTGGTCTTTTTTCATAACTGAACACTTCCATGTACCCATTTATAGCATGTGTCTATAACAAAAGTACCAAAAATATGAGTCAAGGGCTTGAAAGGGGGGCATATGTGTCGTTCGACATTTCTTGTTTTTAATTCATATAAAAGTTTGTCAGAATTGCGTAGTTTAGTAATATCTAGTGTCTTTATTTAAGCACATGACACTATATTACAGTTTGCATATTCTTTGCAAATATATGTTTCAGTGATGCATAGCCATGGCTTTCTCAAAGAATACCGGATCGTTTTGTTTCAAAGAAAACATGTCGTTTTCAAACGTGATTGAGAATCATTTCCTGGGTACGAAATATGTCAAGAAAAAAAACTCTAGCACGACTGTACAACAGTCCCAACACTATTCTAAGACATCATCACTCTGGGGTCTGATCACCAAGGAGACATTCACCCGCACACCCGTGGAAGGTGAACATGATAGTGATAGTGATTCCGAGGAGGAAGACATAAAACCTTCGTCTACAGGCGTACTGTACAAACAGTCAATGCAATTGTGCTACAGTAGATCCTTCGTACAAAATTGAACTGTATATCTACACTGGCATTCTTTACATGAAAAACTTTCATAAAATACAGTGACTATATCTTGTAATGACAATATTAACAAATGTCTACCAATATCTACTACAAAGCCAGAAATCAACACGGCATTTTGTTGTTATTTTTGTTTAATTATTCTTTCTCTTTGAACCTTTCAGTTTTCTTGCACTAAGTCTCCTCATACATGTATATAGTTTCCTCTTTTCAACAATTTTAAAGTATATTCGATGTTAATGTTTACTTTTCGCTACATATGCACATAACTAAACTTTGTGTAAATATTTTTTTTAATTTATAATAAAAAAACTATAAATGAATACATGTAGTAAAGTGGAAAATGAAATAAAGTTTTAATTTATCATTTTATCCCTAGGTTTGAAAAGTAATATATATATAAACTGCATTTATTTAAGCAATCGGATATATTTCCTATAGCAAACGACAATGTTACCATTGGCCTACATACAAAAGGGTCGGACCAAAAGTTATACCAATATTATCTATGGTCCTCCCCAAAATTGAAAAGCGTTGCAACGCGTTCTGGGCACTGAAATCGGATTGAAAATAGTACAAATACTTGATTTTCAAGTTATTTCTGAATCTATTTCTTATTTATTTTTGTATAATATTCGTGTTAAGTGTTCCAGTTGGTCTATGAAAGAATTTCATATTTTATGTCTATAGTTTTTTGTATCTCAGGTTCCTTTTAATCCATGGTCAAGGTCTCAGTAATATGAGGTGGGCATATCCTCGCTATTTTGGGACCAAAACAAATCGCCACATTGACCCCGAAAATTGGAGACAGAAGAAAAAAATGACTCATTTCCCAGCTACCTCCAACCTCAGTATATACATGTATAACGTCTTCATTTCTTAAGGCGTTTCCTAATACTTTAACGATCCTGTATGTTGTTAATAAGGTTGTTACCACAGTTAAGTGAAATTTTATATAATTATGTACACATTAATGCTTCTAAAACAATGTTCAAACAACGAAGAATAGTAAACTATGTACTGCAAATATTTGTCCACATAATTTGTAATCATTAAAATATATGCATTCATTCTTATTGAAAAAATTGCCTTAGACTTTAGAGATAGAGAAAATAAATTTCTAATTACCTCCCTTTATTATTATGAAATGTAAATTCGGTAATATCTTTACAAGTTATGCTTTTTGGTACTTACAATATTGATAAATATTCATTTGAGCATTATATTAATGAGAAAAAAACAACATAAAAATGTGTTGCAGATCTTTAAATATCTGTCTAACGCCAATATTTTCAACATTACATTCCCCATAAATTAAGATTTTTCCTTAGAAATTGTCATTTTTTATTTTATTTATTTATTTATTTATTTATTTGAAGCATTTACTTCAAACTTGAAATATATGGTCTTTAACGGGTTAAGGTTTATAATACTCGTAAGTCTGCAGTATTTCTAGAACTATCCTACCTTGAATTAAATTTTATTATTTTGAGCTCGCCTCCGTTAATTTTAGTTTTTACAGCATGGCCAATGTTGTATACGTGTTAACACTTAACCATTAAATAAATCTAGCATTTTATGTTTAAAGAGTTATCACCTCTATGAACTGAGAATTTTGCTTTAAAACGTGTCACTAAGCTCTTACAAGGGATTTAATTAATATTTCATATTTGCCAACTTTATTACAATTAAGAAAATTTCCGGGATTTCTTTTTTTCCCTATGTATTTCCCCACCCTTTTGTTTGATAGATCGAGCATTATGTCTTATTGTGTATTTTGCGCATTTAATATCCGCTTTTAATACAAGTTGCATGTATTTAGATTTTGAAAGGGTGATATGATACTCGGTCGTGTATTTTCAACCACGCTTTATTTCTCTGTCAGTTTTATCTTTCAAATGATACAATTCAGAACATAACAAAGGGATAAAAAGTAGATATTGGTTACGTAAATGTATGTGCATCTGGGTTTTTTATACGACAAAACAAAATAAAAACGAACAAACAAACAAAAATCAACAACAAAATACAATAATTATTGATATCATGCTTGTTCAGAATTTTTGAAAGGTACAAAGCGCTTGCTTTTACCTGTATATTACAAAGAATTAAAAAGACATGATTTTGAAACATGTTATCATATTAGATAGTTTTATTGGCTAATAAAACATTATACTAATTTGATTAAGATATGTGCATTTTATGCAAGTATAATTAATGTGTTATCTTCTCATGTTCACTTTCTTTCCTCATTGTTACAACCAGGCAATTTGTTACGACTAAAATATCACATAAATTTTCAGTGTTCTGTACAACTATACTATCAAATTATGCTATCACAGTTAAAACTAAACAGCCGCTTAACCCCCTAAACTATCCCTGTTAGAATTAAACAACCATGCACATCAACTATCAATGTTACAAATAAACAATGACATAAACTATATGTATCGTTGTTAGAACTAAGAAATCACATAAACTATCACTGTTAGAACTAAACAACCAAATAAACTATCACTGTTAGAACTAAATAATGACATAAAACTATCACTGTTACAAATAAATAACGACATTAACTATCGCTTTAAAAACTAAGCAATGACACATTGTTACAACTAAACAATCATATTTTATGATACCTCAAGATTCATTCTTATTTTCATGACAAAATCTGATAATGTATTTTAAAGTAAAATATTGTGAACAATAAAAGTAATTTACACAATGCAAATAGCACTTAAAATCCACGTAAATTACCAAAAAGATGTCAAAATATGTAAAAAAAATCCCTATTATCTAGAGATAAACTACTCATAGAAACTGAACTGTAAATGTTAATTAAACAATCACATATATACATTGTATTCTCTTTGTTACAACTAAACAAAGACAATATGTGATACATGTATGAATTGAATTTAAGCAGTTCCGTACGACAACAGTGAGATTCTACTTTTATATTGTACTCCATCAAGGTCCAGACTCTATTTCATGTCGGAAACCACGGTACACATTCCGTATACTCAATATACGGTAAAGAGGACGATTAAAATGATTTATAATAACTTTCTATATGCAAGCTTCGTTGATTTCTCGAAATCGTTCGAATTCGATGTGAACACAATTACGTCATCGATGACGCAAACACCAAGACAGTCTTCTAAAAGATCTTTAGCATCATGTTTCATGAAAAGTGACCCATCTTCAGCAAACAGCTGGATAATGACATCTCTGCAGGCAATACAAATAGTATCATTATATAAACACATACTTCTTGGTATGAAACTTATATCTTCATATTTACACTTCCAAAGTACATTTATGTCCCTTTCGTTAAATTGTAAGCATTTCAGTGTTCTGTTTTCAATGTTTAATATATACAGGCATCTTTTATTGAAATCATACACGGATGTTATTTCATTTGAACCGGTCGCTGATGAGCTATAAGAATGTGATATCAACACCTTTCCTGTCTTATCGAGAATAGCAAGTTTGTTTAGCGAACTTAGAGCAAACGATGACGAAGATGTGTCGAAATCGAATCCGGTAATGTTTTGAAAATGTTTATGTACTGAAAAGCAATTGACAGTTGAACATCCAACACTAGTTACATCCACTATACAGACCCGGTGTCCATTTTCGATCAAAAGAGCTACGTGATCTTTTCCAACAGCCGCTATGTTAATCAAACCACCTAACATGGTTCTCCTGTTGTGTGCTAATCCATCTAAACCAATTATGACAAGAGAGTTATGGACCTTTGACAGCATTCCTATAAGACTACCTCCAAGGTAAACAAGCTTGCAGAACTTACATGCAGATTTAAAATGTGGCCTTATGGCAGGAATGGATACTGTGGTGTTCATAAAGAACTCGGCTGTGATTGAACACGAAGAATCAAGTTCAATTCTATTATATATATTTTCGGTTTTGCGAGTTGAAAGTGAGCAGTAATTGTCCACGTGATGTGTTTTGTCTTTAATTCCACCAGTTTCCAACTCTTTTTGTGAATTAGGTTTCTCAGTGTTCGAAAAAATCCGTCCAAAAAGAGACTTTGTTTTTCTCTCTTCAGGCAGATTTTTGCAGATTTGCTTTACATCAGTTGCTTTTTCACTTTTATGTCTCGGGATAAGATCAGTTTTGTTCTTGCCATCACTTCTTACGCAACACACCTTTTCCTCGTTTGATAAGCCAAAAGGGTGAAGATAGTCCTCTTCAGTGTCATGCGATTGGCCAGCTTCATCTGAAGAGAATTGTACACAATATGGAGGCCTTTCGTATGGACTTTTGCTTGTAGTTTCGCTTGAATCTATATGTTTACCATTAAAAGTCTCTTGTGCTTTATCCTCGGAGTAAACTTTTGGAAACTCTTCGACAGTTTCATAGCCATCGCCATCTTTTATAATTACTTGGCCAAGAGAAGTGTCCTCGTTTAACACTGAACTGCAAAGGAAATTATTTGGTTTGAAATTTCCTTCTGGACGCGAATCTTCGTTTGGAATTTGGTTTATTAAGACTTCTTTTACTTCCTCCAGACTGGAAATTATATTGTCAATTTCTTTTGTGGAATTACCCGAAAGTTTATCAATATTTTGTATTGCAGTGTTTTCAATTGCTGTAAGCTTTTGTTTGAATTGTTTATTTCTTTTTGAAATAGCTCCAGTCGTTGTTTCAATAGACTTAAGGCAATTATCTTTAAGTCTGTCAATGCGCTTTGTAAGTCTGAAATGCACATCTAACACTTGTTGTTCTAAACTACTTTTCATGCTTTCAATATGTGATTCATGTCTGTCCACTAATTCTTTCTTATTTTCTGCTAATTGCTTGACAGCTAGACTTTCTTGTAACAAAATATCTCGTTCTGTGGACAGCTTCCGAATTTCAATGATAGAACATTCTGAGGCGGTTGCCCGTTCAAGCGCACAACTTACACAGAGTAATTTACGATGGCGACGACAAAGAACTTGTGCCACTTCCTCAGGATGTTTGTCGCATTTTGGTGTGATGATATTTTGCTCGGTCATTGTTTTGATTACTCTGTTTGTTTTCTTAGCCTGTAATACAATAAATCGTGCAGAATACATGAGAATATATTTCGAAATTCATACGGTATTATAAAACATTTTTTAATCAGTTGACTTGAAGTTACAACGGACACTGTAAATATGATAAGTACTACATGTATAAAGAAGGTATTTAATTAATAACTTAGTTTCAAAGCGCGGTTCAGATAAACGGAGATGATAATGTTGGTGATTAAAACAATCACAAATACCGATGATATTGATGATGATGGTGATGGTAGTGATGATGATGATGATGATTTTATGCAAGAAAAAGAGAAAATCTATAATATTTATACTTACAATAAACAGTCAAACTTCCATCTCACAAATTATCCTTTTACATAGTCAAACCCTTTTAAGAATAACATCTAAACTGTATGCGTAGAAGTTATGACGAAAATAACTTTTTAAATCATTGAAAATTCCCCAAAAAGATCAGAGGCAATTACATGTATATGTAACACATATGTTAAATGACGACTTAAACATATGAAACCCGGAACATATCGTGCATAAAAATTTGTCTCTCTAAAGTAGCACAACAAAACCATATACATTAACTATAAAGTAAAAATTACTACAATTACATAATGCTCGCTACTTTAATATAAATGGTATTATATCCGTCATACGTTTTGAAAATAAAGCTGTTCCGAGGTTGTTTTTATGTAATAAAGAGCAGATTTGTTTTGTCTGGTATGAACTTTAAACTTGAACAAGGAAGAAAAACACACCTGGATAATAGGATCATAAAATATCTTTTATTACGAGTGAAACCATATTTTTGTTTGTACCTAAAAGGAAGTAAATATATGTCATATGCACGTACACGTATATATTTATATACCGCTGTTTCCCTGACATTAAAGCAGCACGCCCTCTGATTAAATATCTTTTTTTTCTAAACTTTAAATTCGCCTACCAATATAATGTATCAACATTATTAGGTCAATCGTGATGTAGCGTTTCGTTTGAGGTAGAATTATGATACCAAAATAAAATTTCAGTCATAATTTGCAGGAAACAAGCAGATTGATTTATAGACTGTGTATAAATATATGATACATTTTCCTTAATAACTATTAATAAACTCAGTGTGTTATGTACCCGAGTACATAAATTATTTAAATCTCTATCAACATTGAGGTATTCCGAATGTCAGATTTCACGACCAGGATCAAAACATATTATTTAAAATTTTCTTTATTGTTAATTTGATATTTAATATAAGTTGACTTGAAATAGTATATATTTTTATGATTTTTCTTTGATTTTTTTTATTTATTTATTTTTTTTTTTTTTTTTTTTTTGGGGGGGGGGGGTCATGATGACTTTTACATGGTATGAGAGGTCAAACGGTGATCGAACTACTAACATTGAACCTTAATTTGATCACTATTTTAGTCCAGTTATTATTAATTTTTTATATTATTATTATGGCTAAATTTTATCCCAAAATGATTTTTTGTAAATCAGCATGTTTTTTTTTTTTTGCATTTTTTATACCTTATATTTTTTCCTTATAAGATCATTGTTACTGTCATAAACCAATGAAAAAAGTCAGGATCATTTGATCTTGATCTTTTTCTTTGTGAACATGGGGACTTTTGAAAACGTTTTATTCACGTAAAATATTTAGGATAGCTTGTTAAAATATAACTACAGATCTGTATTTATTACATAAAGAGAAATTTTATGTCCTATTTTTTTGAAACATGAAATTTTATGATAATATTTATACAGTAAATAAACTTGTCAAAATTTTAGAAGTACAAATATGAAAATAAAATGTAAATATGAACGAGAATGATTCCTAAGGTAGGGACCTGAGTGCGTTCAATCATAGTTGCGTTCATGATAATGGAGATATTTGTGAACTTTAAATAATTGTATTCTAAATAAACTTGTTATAATGACCCTGTATATTAGCGTTTAAAATATAGCGATCATTACTACAGTTAATATCAGAGAAACAAGGGAACTGATAGCTTGATCCATCTTAGAAATTTGATACATGTATTTTAATATTAATGCTTTGAAATAAGATAATTATTTGTTATCTAAGAATTGTTGACAGGATATATGGCCGTATATAAACGGTAGTTTCGAAATATAACACGAGTCACTATTGCAAACAGCCAACTATATACGGTCATATAACCTGTCAGGAATATTTACACCGAATTTGTAATACAGCAAACTTCATTTTTAGAGAAAAAAGTGACATTACTTTTAAATTGAAAGCAGCCGTGTATATCAAAATCTAATGATACAAGTTTGCTTCTTAAAAAAGAGACATGTAAAAAAGGTCTTTTTTGCAGCTGTGGAAGATTTGTTTAATTCTAAAATATTTGGAGATATTTTTTTCATAAAAGGCACAATGAATGTTTATAAAGTACAATTATTTAGCAAAATATTTTTTTTATTAGATATTGAATATCTATCTAAATATTGAAATTCTAAATTTAGTTTGATAAAATATCATAAATTGTTCCAAGAAAATGTTCATTTCTCCGCCATATAATCTTTCTAAAATGAAGTGTAAAACAAACTTTCCATATGATACTTTTATTCAATATATATAATAAATTCATTCATCCATCCATCTCTACCTACCTACCTACCTACCTACCTACCTACCAAAATAGACGTATGACGTCACACGACGCTACAAATATAATTGGACGCCGCATTTATTGTCTGTGACGTAACTATATGAAGAAAATCCGCCAAACGATAGAAAACATTCTGCGAAATGCACATTTAAAGGTATTTGAATAGATTTCTATATAATTCTTTTAAGTAAAATAAGATAATATTTCTTAACACTGCGTCATTACTTAATGTGATTTTGCACATAGATTTTTTTAGGAAAAGCAATAAAAATATGTTAATGTGGGATGTAATATAGCATTTTGTACATTATGATTATTATGATTATTATGATTTTTATTATTATATTATTATTATTATTATTATTATTGAAATAAGATATTTATTTCATTAAAATTAGAAAGTTATTTCATTGGAGGAAGGTAGATCTAAATCTAACATAAAATGCTGTTCCAATTATTCTAAGTATATATAGGTTAAAGTTTATTAGTGTTTGAAATTATTTCTATAAAACTGCCGATTTACTAGACTGGTTGAATTTAGCCAATTTACCGAAGTACAAAAATGTAAACCATTCATTTGAAATACTGCAATTCTTTTCGATAACACTAAATAAGCCGTGTCATGACAAAACAAACATAATGCGTTTGCGACCAGCATGGATGCGCATCCGCGCAGTCTGATCAGGTTCCATGCTGTTCGCTTACCAACTCTATGACAAGTAGAGAAACGGATAGCGAACAGCATGGATCGCGGACGCGCAGGCTGGTCTGGATCCATGCTGGTCGCAAACGCATTATGTTGGTTTTGTCATGACACGGCTCAAATTATGAAATAAACTCACAGTTTTATTCAATGACAGTAACAAAAATAAAAAGAAATATTATCAACTTGTTGACCAATTCTTTCTATGTATACAAAGAATTGTATAATTACTCCATATCATCATTCAGGGAATTGGTGTATGAAATAGTCACATAGACAACAAATCATTTAATAACTGGCGAATTGACAAGGACATTAGTTGGCAAAATGTAATGCCCCGGTCACATATTCACGGATAATGCCACGGAAGAGCTACGGTCTAATAATCGTTCACGGATTACTACGGAAATGGGAAATTCCGTAGTCCGCTACGGTTCCAGTACGGACACACAACGGTATGAGTACGGAGTTTGACGGATTTACCACCAAAATCCCCGGGTTACGGACCAACACGGTTTGGTACGGAGCGACACGAATCAGGACGGGTCTGATACGGAGAAGAACGAATTGATACGGAGAAGAACGTACTGCCACGGACCTATACGGACCTATTATATCAGTCCACAACCCCTTGCATGCTCATTTTCAAAATGCCTCACAAGAAAACACCTAGAAAACGAATTGCAGAGTTCAATGATTTTGGCGGAGAGGATTCGGCCTCATCGCGTCCGACCCCCGAGTCATATCAGGTCCGATTAAAGTGAATTTCATGAAGGACGCCGGATCCTCAACAGGTTCGGCCATCAGAGCCTCATACTAAACATGAAGGGGTCTTCGTAAACCCCATTTCTAGTCCACCATCTCCTCTTACCTGATTAGATATGGGCTAGTAATCATTAAAGAAAAATGTTGATCAATACTGCTTCTCTTTTGATTTTGAAATTTGCTGTTCATTTTACAATAACATTAATTATCATGAATGTTTGTTTTAAAAATATGTAAAAAGCTTTTTAATTAATCTTATCATCACTCCAAGGGCCAGCGTCCGAGGCTTATGAGACACTTCGTTTTATGTACATATTTACTCCAATTTCACGATCCAAATTAATGTTTGTAAAATATGTAACATTAAATTCTATTCTATTACTTATGAATTGTAGTACGATATTAATATATTTTTACCTCTGTGCATGTCATCAAGCAGCTCGACCACTGCCTCCGCATTCTGAGCTATTTCAATATAAAGTTGCAGCCAGTAAATGGCAATTATCATTAATTGAATGTTCACGCAAATATGTCTATTTTAACAAGAAGGTAGTATTTATACCCTTGAAAAAGCACATGATACTATTAATTTATTCCACGTATGTAATATAAATCCGTGTTTATCCGTACTAAACAGTGGTGGACCGTACCATTCCGTACCGTTTCGTGTTGCAACGCAGTAAACCGTATAAGACCGTGCTAATCCCTGCCTCTCCGTAGTACAACGTATTACGATCG